TCCTGCCCCAGGAGATGGCCGGTAGCTCAGCATCCACTCTTGTCGTATAATTTTATTAGAAAGCTCAGTCATCTGCAAACCATCCTATACTTGCTTGCAGGTACACAGAGCACGTACTCATGCAACAGAGACCACGAGGCTGCAAAATAGAGCCCAGCTACAGTTGGCCCCCTGCAAAAGCAGTTGCTGACAGCTCTGTGACCTGGCCCTCGTGCCCTTGATTTAGACACACAGGTGGCCCCACTTCTCTAATCAGGCAGCCCTTGCTTTCCATCAGGTTTCAACTCAAAAGCCATTTCCTCAGTGGCACCTTCACCGAACCTTCTAACTCAGAGTCAGACCCTCAGCAAACATCCCTGCACAAGCAAGGTCCCACGATGCCACCTGGTACTTGCTGGCTCACTGTGTGCCCCCAGTGAAGAAGGGCCTGCTGACAGGACAGCTGTTTAGCAATATGATGAAGGCAGAGGAAAACTTCGACTAGGTAACGAGCAACTTCTAGGAGAGCTGAGTCCAGACTCAGTCTCATTCAATCTGTTTCACAGCTGGGGGTAAGCCATGGCAGGAGGAACTGCACTCTCTTGTGGAAACACTACTTCTGTTTTCTTTAATTTTAAATTTATGTACTCTACTCATTGTACGAAACTTCTGAAAAGACCAAACAGAAAAATAAAGTGAAAACTGCCTACAAGCCAAGGAGACGTCTGCCCTACCCTACAGCTAGGATGAGAAGAGGGGCCCGGGCAGCACGCAACTCTGCGTGGAGTGAGGTGGTGATAACCGGCAGGGGCTGGGCCCCAGACTCTGCTCTTCACAGTGCCTGTCCCAAGAGGGTAGTGTCTGCTTGTGCCTCTTTCCAGGAGCAGTGGTGGGTGGGTCACTGTGCAAATGTAGCACAGAAGGAGAACTCAGGGACTCAGGTCCAGTGAGATGTGCACATGGCTATGTCACATGAAGCTTCAGGAAGCCCTAATTCTGTAACCCTGTACTGCAGCTAGATTCACCACCAATATGGCTACTCTCTAGTCTTTCCTATGAATCTTCTTTTTTTTAATATTTTTATACCTTTATTTTTATGTGGTGCTGAGGATGGAACCCAGGGCCTTGCATGTGCTAGGTGAGCACTCTACCACTGAGCCACAACCCAGCCCCTCCTATGAATCTTCTTAACCATCTCCCTCAGTATGGGAAACAAGAGAAACCTAAAGATTAAAAAGTGAAGAATTATACTCTTCTTTTCACCACTAGGCTGTGATACCCTCTTTGGGAAAAACATTCTAATAAGCCACTTACTAAGTTTATTCTAACACCAGGAAAGGTAACAATCCAGTCTTAATAGGACTCCATGGCCTGAATCTAACCTTGGGGGACACCCCCACCACTTTAGTCTTGGGTTCTACAGCTTGTACTTTTGTAACAAGGCCAATTCCTGTTGTAGCTCTAGAGAGAGCTCCTCAGAAGCTTCTGCACATAAGCAAGTGCCAAGAGGAGACACAGCAGCTCCAGAGGCTGGGGTGGGGAGTGCCTGCAGGACAGCTATGCCAGTGGCCCAGTGCTAAAGGTCAAGCAGCACAGCCTCCCAGGGCTCCAGAGCTCGTGTGAAGCCTGGCCAGCCCTTTCGGCCACAGGTCTGTGTTCCAGCCCAGGGCCTGTCTCTGCTCCTTGCACTCCTTCCCTACTCACCTAGGTCACAACAGGCAGGGCCTTCCTTCAGGGCTCCTACCATCTGCTCGTCATTTGACTCCTGGCCTGAATCTTCCTTGGGAAAAAGCAACAAAGGGCAGCTCTCTTGTCTTTGGCATCTTGCCTGTGCCTCTGTGTAACAGAACAAAGGCTGAACTGTGACTTTTGGCTTGGCTCATCCTAAATGTCCACCTGACACCTGGCAGCCTGGAAAGGACAAAAGTTTGGAGCAGAGGGAGAGGATTGCCAGGTGGAGCTTGAGTCCCATCCCTTCTCCTGCTGTGTCAGGACACCATACCGGAGAGAAGACCAGGGACCTTAGAAAACCAAATGCTACCCATGTCACACAGCAACAGAAAACAAGTGGTTCTGGATTGGGAGTTTGATTAACTCCAGATGACAGTGAGTCTGATATTGGGAGCTCAACCTGCACATCCCAAACTCCGGCAAGATGGGCTTGTGAAGTGATTGTACATGTAATTGAAGTACAAAAGTTAAGTCTCTTCTGCTCTGTTGTAGCTTCCTCTGCAGTTCTGGGGTGGAACCCAGACCTCTCCTGTGCGTGCAGAGCACACTAGTACTGAATGTATATATACCCCACCAGAAGTGAAGCCTTCCCTGTGTATCTAAGTAAGCTGGGATCAACTGTGATCCTAATGTTTTCTTTATCCTGCAACTGGGTGCTGACTAGCTGGTAAGCGCAGAGGGAAAGGAATCACACAGCTGGTACTTCCCTTTTCATATCTTTACATGTTTTGAGGTATGGATCAAGGAAATGGCAAGAGTCTGGAATGTAACAGCCTGTGAGCCCAGGCGCACCAGGGCTGAACAGGAGTTCTGGACTGTGGGCTGGGCTCACAGGCTCCACATGCATCCTCCTTCCTTAGAGGTGGCTCTCAGGGACTTGGGCTTCAGAGATGGCCTACTGAGTTCCACATGGGCTTTTTTTAGGACACTCCTGAGCGGCAGTCCAGGCCCTCCTACTCCACACCAAGCCAGAAAACTGTCAGTGTCAGCACCTATTCCTCAGCAGCAAACCCTTCATTCCTTGGTGGAGCTGGCTCCACACTGCCCTCCCTGCCTCCACCCCCTTGCCATGAGGGCCAGGCCATCCAGCACAGCAGCCACAGGGCTGGTCTGCTCGGCCCCACTGGTCTTGTGGCCCAGCCAGTCTCCCTCAGGCCTTTCTTATAGGAGCACACAATCCAGGGACCAGCTGGCTTCAAGGTTTCCACAGGGCTCCACCAATGCTTCTAGGGCAGTAACCTCTTTTTTTTTTTTTTTTTTTTAGGACACACCATCTTTATTTTTTTATTTTTTTTTATGTGGTGCCGAGGATCGAACCCAGTGCCCCACGCATGCCAGGCGAGCGCATTACCACTTGAGCCACATCCCCAGCACCAATAACCTCTTTTTTTCTCACTTTTCTAAAATGTGCAAATGTAGAGTTTCATGGTACTTGAACTGGATCTTTGTGACTCAGTCTATGGATAACAAACTTCAGAGTTAACCTAGTGAACATTATGTGACCACAGCTGGTAACATTATATTATGTAAATTAACTTCCATAAGCAAAGACACATGACAGTAAATCAAATGCCATTCTTTAAATTAAAAGAAAAAAAACTATTCTTGTTTATTCTTTTTTTTTCCAAGAAATATTTTCCTCTACTGTTTGCCAAGGACTGTCAGGGAGTGAGGGTGCTAGAGAGAAGGCTCTGCAGTCAGCCCTCGGGAGAGCAAATGCCTAGTGATGTACTGCCAGCTGCAGAATGCGCTTCAAAGAGAATCACAGAGGGACAGCAATGAGAGGGTGGGCTGCCAGTGAAATCTTCAGACGTAGGACACCTGAGCCTTGCTTTGAGAAGAAGCATAAGGAACAAAGATCCCAAGAAAGGGCAACAGTGTCCATAGGAATCCCATGTTAGGAGGCCTGCATGTTCCAGCTCACTGCCTTCAGGAGCCACAATCTCAGAAAGCTCCCTTCTCTTCCACATGTTTGGTACAGTGTTAGCCTCATGGTCTGCCTCTGTGCCCTCATGCCAATCGCTGAAATACTGTGGATCCCTGGGCAATGGGAACAGCAGAGTTTCAAAGGACAGTTTGTTTATTTCGAATGAATACTCAGTGTTATGATTTGGATCTAAAAATGTCTCTTGTTGTGTTATGCAATGTCACCAATGTTCAGTGGTGAAAAGACTGGATTATTAAGGCTGTAACCTCATTAGTAGATTGATTCATTTGATGGATTACCAATTTAAATGGACTACTGGGTGGTAACCAAAGGGAGGTAGGGTGTGGCTGGAGGAGGTACTTCACTGGGGTGCAGCCTTGGGGACTCTGTCCATGGCCCCTTCCTGTCTGTCTCTCTGCTTCCAGGCTTCAAGGAACAGAGCAGTGCTCCTCCACCATAATGTTCTGTCTCACCTGTCCCTCACCTGGACACAACCAACCATGGACCAGACCTTTAAAGCTGAGTAAAAACAAACTTCTCCTTCTCTAAGTTGTTCTTGTTGGGTATTTTGGTTACAGTAACAATAAGCTGATGAACACACTCAAGATAATAGACATTTGGTACAAAGACAAATTTCAAACTATATTTCCGTTACTATTACCAGTTTAAAAACACTTCTCAGGATATGCTAACAGCCTGCAACACCCAGGGCACTGCTATCATAGTGCTGCACAGTATCTGCAAGCTTTCCAAACACATTCCCTAGAGATAAAAAACAGGTAATTTTACTGGTAAAGCATTATTTTAAACAAAATATTAGCAGAGTTCACTGAACTGTTAATTGAATATTAGCTTTAACAATCATGTTTGTTCCTCTAAAAGCATCTATGAAACCACCAAAGTTCAGGACACACAAACCAGACTTAAACATCCACAGTGGAAGAGGCTATGAGTAGTAATTCCAGTTGTTTAACTGAAAGAGAATGTGTGGCTGTCGATGTCCTGCCAGATTAGTGGGTGCCAGAACTCAGATCCCAAGAGCCCTGGGGGGCAGCCCAGCAGGAAACACCTGAAAGGAGAGTGACGAGCCGAGGTCTCCTGAACCCCAATCCACCTCTGCAAGGGAACACCTGCGAGGCAGGTCCCCAGTGGCTCTCAGACGCCAACACCAGCTGTGAGGAGGCGGTAGACCTGTGCAGGCTTCTCCTGGGCCCACACTTTCTCACTGCCTTCATGGGCACACCCACCAAGCCACATTCTCAGAGCAAGAGTCACCCCACAGTCATCAGCCAGCACAGGGACTCATTCAGGCTGCAGCTCCTGCCCCAGGCGGGGCGGGATGCTGTCAGGCTCACTCCCCTACCTTTGCTGCCACGATGCTGAGGCCCATTCCATTCTGCTTCTTTAGGGTCACAGTGATTATTTCAGGCTCTTTCCTTAAAGGCTGGGCCTGAAGGAGGAAAACAGAGGCTCACTTTATGAGCAAAAGGAGAGGAAGACCCACCACCTCAGCCTCACACAGTGACCTGCAGAACTGAATACTGGCGCTCTTGAGCATGGAGAGGACTGGCAATAGTACTATTTAAATGTTCTTTTAAGAACTTAATTAATAAAAACAAAGATGAATTTCCACTGCTCTCATGTTAGAAAACCTTCCCCTATGACAGAAATCCAATCTTCACCTTCCCCTCCAGGTTCTTTTTGGGGGAGCGGGGATTCAAAGAAATTTGAACATATTTCATACGGTCTGTAACGAGGATAGCAAAACCCAGCTATACCAAAGACAACTTAATATTTTAGTCTCTTGGGAAAATGAAACATCATTTTATTTTAAATGGAAAAGAAAGTGGCTGCAGGAGTTGTGTAGCGGCGTTCAGAGTCCCTGCCAGAAGCCCAGCGGGGGCAGGGGGTGGTGGTGGTGGGGAGGTCTACCCAGAGGGGTGAGTCGCAGCACAAGGCCAGGCTTGAACTGATTCATCAAACTGGAAAGAGAAGCCGTCCAAAGCCATGTGTCCTATACATGCCACGCCTCATCCCAAAGTGGGGACAAAACCTGAGACACACCAGCAGCACACAGGCCACAGAAGCTAGGCAGCAAAACCCAGGCCACGTGCAGCAGCGTGGCCATGAGTGGGCCACTTAGTTACGGGACAACAGCAAGCTTGAGAGAAAACATTTTGAAGGAAAAAAATAAAATCAGGTGATAAAGGAATTAAAAACAAAAATCAAGACTTGAAATCTCCTAAAGAATCTAAGAATTAGAAGGTGAAGAACTGGGGATTCCTTCCAGGAGAGTACTTGTTTTCCTATAAAAATCTGGTAGTCAGAAGTGGATGCTATAACTTTGAATTTGGCAAACAATAATCAGCGATGGTTTATCAGTAGTTAAATGTGATTACACATTTGGTCTAATAGAGCAATCAATCAATTTTTGGAGACGGCTCTGCTACTCAGATTTAAGGTATGCTAGAAGAGCCAAAATAAATTGCTCTGAATTAAATATACAAATGAGCACCTTTTTGTTTAAAACTTTCTGTACAAAGCAAAGGAGAAATTTCCCTTAAGATGTAGAAGCTCTTTTACTATTTCAAAAGATGCAAAATATTAGTGAAAAACCTGATGTACATTTAAGAAAAGGTAGAACTGACTAGAAAAGAATAAAATATTTTTTGCCAAGGAAAAATATTTTTCTAATAAACTCTGTTAAGAACACCATATTATTACATTTTTAAAATATGCATTAACATTAAGGCTGGCATAATTCTGAACTTAAGTATTCTTTAAACAGCACAATTTGTTAATAGACGAAAGTGTAAGATAGATGCGGCCCAGGGAAATGTTTCTATATATAAATGCATGTTATCTTCATAAATCATGGTTTTAAGATGTCTGAATCAAATTGGTATTTTAAGAGGGCCCTGAAATGTTTCCCATCACAACAGAGTTCAGTGCAAGCAAGGAACACATCCGCATCACATCTCCAAGTCAGTACAGACCCACCCAACACCCTCAGACTACTTGCCAGTTCTGTGTTCTCACGCAGAAAGTGGCTTTCATAATCTGCACCTTCAAAATGTATTGTCCAAGTACCTGGTGAGCGCACATGAGGAATCAGCCTGCAAAACCCTAGGAGGACACAGGTGTGTTAGGACAGGGAAAAGCCCAGCTCTCAGAACAGGTGGCCCTGCCAGCAAGCCAGACACTACCCAAGCATGGCATCTCACAGGGCTGACTCCTCTCTGCTCCTTCATTCTCTACAAATCTGATTATGAGATACTTAATTATATACTGGTTTTGATCCAATAGGATTTCAGCAGCAAAGTGAAATTGGGTCTTTATTTCCTCTGGATCCCCAAATGACTTTTTTATTACTTCGGAAAGAAATTAATTATCAGGTCATAAATTCTGTAGAACTGTTTACTGCAGACTAGGAGACCCTCGGTGGCATTCAGAATGTTAATAGACGAAAATGTATATCAGGTTTTTCACTCAGCAGAGGAGAGGAAGAACGACAGGGCCAGAGAATGGCACAGATGTGGGCATCTGCCCATGCAGCAGACTTGGCTCACCTCTTCACTATTTTTCACTTTCTTAAAACATCAGTAAGCTGGTCTCCCTGCAGCAGCCCTGAGGGCATGGGTAGAAGCCATGAAGCGGCTGGGCCTTGTTCCAGATCACCCTCATGTGGACCAGTAACCTGAGCATCAGCTCTGTGCCCAGCCGTGCAGGAGGAACCTCTGGGAGCGTGGCCCCCTTCAAGTACAGTGGAAGTGTAGAGCAACTGAAGAAATACAGAAGAGTCACTCTTGGGAAGGCTGCCAAGTGTGAGGGCCATAAACACGCTGGTTTTAAAAGAGCTGATGAGCCAGGTGCAGTGGCCATGCCTGTAACCACAGCAAGGGGAGGCGGAAGCAGGAGGATCACAAGTCCAAGGCCAGGCTCAGCAACTGAATGGGAACCTGACTCATAAAACAGAAAGGGGCAATGGCCATGCCTATCATCCCAGTGGCTGGGAAGGACAAGGCAGGAAGATCAAAGGATAGCCTTGGCAATTGAGTGAGAACCTGTCTTGAAATAAAAAAGGGCTAGGGATGTGATTCAGTGGTTAAGTGCCCCTCTGGGTTCAATCCTCAGTACCAAAGTAATTAGAAAAGTAAATAGAAAGGGCTGGGAATGTAGCTTCATGGTAGAGCACTGGGTGCAATCCCCTGAAGTGCAAAACATAAAAGAGCTGCTGGCAACAGGGCAGACTAAGCAGAAGGGGAGGCCTGGGCAGGAAGATGACAGAGACCACACATGATCAGCACATGTGACTGTGGAGCATGGAAGAGTAAAGCTGCCTGTGGGTTTTGACTTGTTGAGAGATGTGCACAAGACCCCTCCAAGCAGCCCTGTTGTAGTTGAATGCCTGCTGTCCCCTGGTTCCCTACTCTGTGGCGAGGGCCATACTTCCACAGGCTTCCCATGTGCCTAGAGTTCTGGGCCAGGTCAGATGCACTTCAGGGGGACTTGGCGGGCCTCTTGCTGCACTACAGCCAGCACTGGGCCACAGGTGTACCCTAAACCAGGACTAAGGGCTCTCCTGGCATATGCCTTCACATCCAGGCCACCCCACCTGGTCCTCTGCTCTTCTCCATGCACTCGGCATGTTGGAAGGGCCACACTACTCATACCATGTAAATAACACTCATGGGAAGAGGCAGTCTTTCTAACATGAACTTTTTAAAAACTACCAAAACTTTGAGATACCTTTGAAGATAGAAAAACAAATTTATGTGGTAAGTGAAACATTCACTGAAGTTAAAAATCATATTCACTGAATTTATCCATCATGGGCCCATGGATATGACACTTAACTTCATCTTGCTGATACTCCTTGTTTAAATAAATCCCTACATTTTGCATCTATTTTTCTACTCATCAGAGCTTTTCTCTACTTTCCCCAAAAGTAGCACAATAGAATCAAAATTTAGTCTGATTCAGAAGCTCATACTTCACAGCAACAGTGAGCGATGGGAGGGATGTAGAGTTGGAGGAAGATCCTGACTTGCAGCTAGCTGCCTTTCCTCTTGCCAGAAGATGGCTATTCTTTCTATCAATAAACAAAAGCAAGACTATGTAGACAGGGTCATGTGACAATCTAGGAAGGCCTGAGGTGGACTCTTGACGGCTATGTCACAAGCCCCTCTATGCCCCACAGAGCAGTGTGTCTTGCACAGCATGCTGGAGGCTGGCCCTCACTGGCCTGGCAGGGCGGCCCTGCAGCAGTGCCAGGGTGCTCGGCACTGAGGCAGCCCTGGCCTCCTGGCAACCGACCCAGTCCTCAGAGACCTCTTAGTCCATTTTACAGGTGAGAACCTGAGGCAAAGCGCAAACTGCCCCAAGAGCACAGGTGGCAGGGTTGGGTGGAGCTGGCTGGTTGGTGCTACTCTCCCCTGCTCTACTGGGCTGGCACCAACATTTCACCAGGTGGGCAGGACAGGTGCTTTCTGCAGGGCCACCACATACCCACAGTCATGCGAACGAACACATCTGACCTCACGTCACCATGAAACACTTCTCAAGTCCAGGCAGAGTCCTCAGGAGACAGTGAAAGAGAAGCTCGCTTCCTCCTGGGCCACAGCTCAGGATCCGCTGGGTAAGCAGCACTTACCTCTCTGGCACAGAGGGTCTAAAAACTCCTGTAAGCCATTTGGAATGTTTCTGACAACGTCACAAGAATAGCCATCTTCTGGCAAGAGGAAAGGCAACTGCAAGTCAGGATCCTCCTCCAACTGTACATCCCTCCCATCACTCCGGGCTAGCTCATCCGCTGTGTTCTCAGCCACAGCCACCACGTTGTCTATGAGATCCTGTCAAAAAAGAGCACTAGGTCACAGAAGATGCTCAAAACCTGAAGTGTGTGACCAGCAACACTCAGAAGCCAAGTGATCACAGTAGCTCACCACCTCCCAGACACACCTAATGGGCACAGGGCTCTGGAGACAAAGCAGGCTCTCTAGCTCATCCATGCTCATTAGCTGGCTTTGAGAAGCGACAACTCACAGGCCAGCTGCTCACATTTTAAATAGGGACCAAGATGCCACTAATCCTCAGCTACTTATGGCTGTACATAGGAAGAAGCTGTTCAACACAAGAAAATGCTATTCCTCTTTTCCAAATAGTTATATCTGTGCACAGTTCTTAAATAGCTTTATGTTTCAGTCGTTGTTAATCATCATATTCTTATTGAATATTTAATGTGAAAATATTTAGAAGTGAAAAGACTGGATGTGGCAGTGCACACTTGTAATCCCAGTGACTGGGGAGGCTGAGGCAGGAGGACCACAAGTTTAAGACTAGCCTTAGCAACTTAGCAAGGCCTTCCCCCAAAATAAACAACAAAAGGACCAGGAATGTGGCTTCATGATTAAGTGCCCCTGGAGTCAATCCCCAGAACAAAAAAAAAGAAAACACAGTAAAAAGCTTACATATTAAATACTAACAGCTGTGTCACAAGCCCTCTACGCCCAAAAGAGCAGAGTGTGGTGCTCTTCACTATTTTTCACTCTTAAACATTTTCACCACTTAAATATTAAAGCTTATATGTTAAATTAAAAAAATGAATAAGTTATCGACCCAGTAAATTTCCTACTTTGGAAATACATCAATAGAGGGAGTTTTTGAATTAGAGTCTCACTCGTGACTTCCATCTTAAACACATGCACAGTCCAACCATCGAAGACCCAGCCCAGCACCCTGCTACTCCCACTCTAGACACTAATACCAGTCCCCATCCTGCCTTCCTCCCTACAGGGGCGGGCCTCCAGCACATCCACACCAGAATGGTGATGTCCATCCGTCTCATGCAGATGGGAGGCATCATGAGTGTCCTCTGCACATGCCCTCTCATGCCACTTACACTAGTACACTCACGCAGGCTGTTGTGGAACCAGAGTCCACACTTCCTCACTGGAGCTGGCACTCCCTAACATGACAATGACGTGCTCTACTGGCAGGTGGCACTGCTGTCTGTGTAGCTTCAAGTGTTGGCTGTTTCCTGCCTCCTCCTGGCACAAAGCAACACTGAAGGGTGGCTCACATAGCCACCCACTCCATCTTCAGGGCTCAGGTGGTTCCCACGGCACTGTCTGAGCAGCTGCCTCTGAGTAAAGAGCCATCAGGGCAGACTCTGTGGTCTGGGCTCTTGGTCCCCATTCCTTCCAGCAAGCAGCAGGCTTGCCTGGCTCAGCCTCTTCCAGATTAATAGTTTTTCTTCTGCTTAAAATACTTGTGCAGTTTCTGCTCCTAGCATTAAACTGTCTCAGATAACTATAAAATGGATTTTAAGTAAAGTAATATACTAAATAAATTGTGAAGTAGGTGTTCCTTTTCTCTCCTCATTCAAATTTTCCCTGCACAAACACATTCACACTTGGTCACAATGTAACACTCACTTACCGTGGGGATAAAAGGCTCATCAGGTGCACAGTGATAATTTTGTAGTAAGGCTTGAAGCTGCAGTGAATTTAACTTAAAGCAGGTGCTGTTTATATTTGGAATGTCATCAGGTGCATACTTGTCCATGGTAAGCAAAGTAGTTGCCTAATTAAAAGAATAAATGAATATCACAAATTTATTTCAAAAATATTCTCTCGGTCTAGGAATGTAGCTTAGCGGTAGAGCACAAGGCCCTTCAAATCCAGAAAGAATAATAAGAAGCAGCAGAAAAAATAATAATCTTTTATGTAATATTTATAAAGCCAATAACTTGCTTATATAATTTCAAAATTTAGGAAAAAACACACAAACACACTATTGATATCAACTAATATATTAAACTAAGAATGTCATCCTTTTTTGGGAGGTGGGGAGTGCCAGGGACTGAACTAAGGGCCACTCAACCACTGAGTCACAACCCCAGCTCAATTTTTTATTTTATTTAGAGACAGGGTCTGACTAAGCTGCTTAGTGCCTCACCATTGCTAAGGCTGTTATTGAACTCGCAATCCTCCTGCCCAGCCTTCTGGATCTAGATGCCTTCTGGATTTTACTATTATACAAACATAATCAGATTCAATTATTCATGTTCATAACACATTTCAAAATTCCCTTGGAGCCAGGTGTAGTGGTGCACACCTGTAATCCCAGCAACTCAGAAGGCTGAGGAAGGAGGATTCCAAGTTCAATGCCAGCCTCAGCAACTTAGTGAGGCCCCAAACAACTTAGTGAGACCCTGTCTCAAAAAATAAAAAGGACTGGGGAGTGGTTCGGTGTTTAAGCACCCCTGGGTTTATTTCCTGATAAAAAATATATATGTCTTGAGGCTACATATAACTCATTTCCTTATTTCCTTAAATACAAAACACAGTGCCTATTCTTTGATATAAACAATTCCCTCAGAGCAAGTCAAGGCATCAGGACATGATCTAGCTTGTGCATTTTAAAATTGGAATTTATCTTTCACTATGAAGCTTTCTGAAATACACTTCACTGGTCTCAATACTCTACCGGTTAACCACTGTTACAGGTTGCACTGTGTCCCTTAAAATTCCAATGCTTAGAGGCCTAACCCCTAGCACCTCAAAACATAGCCTATTTAGATGTGGTCTTTACAGAGGTAACAGGTGAAAATGAGGCTGGGGGGTCATGTGACTGGAATCCTTTTACAACTGCACACTTAGACAGGCATGCACATAAGGAGAAAGCTGTGTGAAGCCGAAGGCAGATCTGGGAGGATGTGTCTCGAAGGCAGGCTGTCTGGAAACCACCCGAGGCTGGGGAAATCTGGAACACATCCTCCCTTGTAGCCTCTGAAGGAGGCAACCCTGCCAACAGATTTCAACTCTGGCCTGAAGAACTGGAAGACCACAAACTTCCACTGAGCTACCCAGTTTGTGGTGCTTTGTCAGAGCAGGCAGGTGCTAGCACCTCACTGTTTCACTATTGGTACATGAGAAAACCCAACAAAAGGAAGGTTCTGAGTTCTACTGGATCCAAGTTCTTGTACATCATAATATCTGACACATTTGTCATAAAATGCATTACCCTGGGACAGGAACCACACACACCTGCACGATCCTGCTCAAGTGACAGTCCGCAGCCAGTTCTAGCCCCTGCTTCTCTGCCCAGGCTTCGATATGTCCCAACTGCTGGCGGATAATTGCTCCCCAGTAGTGGGAGCACAGCCCTGAATCCGGGTCTGTCACCAATCTGTTGAACAGCCACATATTGATGAAGTGGAACAGCTGAGAGAAAAGCTGGATAGTCAGGGCAGCATTGACTCTGCAGCGCCGCAGCAAGGACATGGCTCCCGTGAGTGTGTGCAGCACATCATCTGTCCAAGATACAGAATGAAAATGAGCCAAACGTCCCCCAAGAACCTTCTGAACCACACCAAACCTGGATATGGTAGCTATGGAAGTAACTGTGTTGACTCACTTTAAAATACCAATCTCTTTCAAATAGGAAACAGTGGCATGGTCTTAAACTACATATTATTATTAACTAATCTCTCTTTAGCCAACAGGTTCACTCAGAAAACTTAGAAAGTATGGCTAGTATGACATACCCAAAAAGGACATTCATAAACAAAACAGACGGTGGCTAGGAGTTATTACTGCCAAATTCAATAAGACATCTCATTTACTCAAAAACACACACTTACTTATTTTAAGCATGAAGGTAGAGCTAAATCGAAGGGAAAAAAAGGGAGGGATCACGGGAGAGCCTAACCTATTTTTGGTCTTTGCAGACTGTTCTCTTCAGGATCATCCAGAAAGGCGGGCATGTAGTTATTCAGTTCTGACTGAAGACAGTGGACCAGGTATCTGAAAGCATTAGACAAGCTCAATCATCTCAGCATGATGCTTCGGCACAGCCAGACATGCTACCACAGGGGAAACAACCTGTACTCTTTAGAAACATTTTCCATTCGCAAAACCAAGAGTGTCACTACTCTGAGGATTCCTGAAGCAGAGCTCACTGAATCCAAGACTCTTAACCAACACCTCTGGCTTATGTTCCTTAGCACTATCTTCACTTAAGGTAAATAAAACATCAATACTTGCTTTGGAAACTGAACAAGAAAAGATAGTGTCATCCTCAAAAATGTGCTCCTTACTTAAATGCCATCTGAACCAGGTGTGCTAGAACGTCCTGGGCATCGAGCGTGATCCGACTAAGGTCTCGGTCCTGCTTGATGAAGTTGAGCAGCTCAGATGCGTTGGCCATCCAGAAGGCAAGTGCCCCTGCGATGTTCTTCTGCTTCTGTGGGCAGAACATATTTCCATCAGCTATGTGGCACAAACCACAGTGACAGCAACAGACAGGAATGCTCCAAAAAGCTGCAAAGACAGACCAGTACCTTCCATTTTCACCCAGGAATTGACCACAGATACCAGATACTTGCAGAGGAATTTGGATGTGTACAATGGGAAGCAACAGCCACTGCAACTGCTTCCTAGGACCCATGTATACAGACTAGGGTCTAATTAGCTTCGATTTATGCAATCAGTGGAGAAATGCAGATATCAAGTAATAAAACACCAAATTGTAGATTGTGCATTATCTGGTAATCTGTGCAGTATACACAGATGTATCCACAGTTACCCACAGCCACCCTGATACTTGTAGTCACTGGCACGGACACCATGTGACTCAGTATCCAGTACTGATCTATCGCATCCTCTCCCGACCACATGTGCAGGCCAGGCAACCTCAGATGAGAGTCAAAGAATAGGAACCAAAGACAAATAATAAGGAGAAGAAACAGAACTCTGGTCATCTCATATCCACACTGAAGTGCATTAAGCAGAAATTATGAAATGCTGATAAAAGTTGCACAGTCAAAAGGGTTTTAGTACTGCGTGTTCAGTTGCTGGATGAGGGTTATGAACTTTCAGTCCAGGTGCTGTAGTGTCATACTGGACATGGAAGCAGCATGAGAAACTCAGCTAAGCCAACGCAGCTAGGAGCAGCTCCCAGCAGTGTTTCCTACCTGATCAACCTGGTCTACCTCCTGGCGAAAAACAGACGGGGAAATCAGCAGAACAAGAGAAAGAAACGTGTAAACAATCATGACAGTTAAAAAAAAAAAAAATCAAAACACTAACATGAAGGTACGACATGAAGGTACAACATTCAGTTATGTTATTCCCAATTACATTTCATTTATGATTCTGAAGCAGCTTTGGAAGTATATGACATAAAGGATTAGTTTCATGTTCTTAAAATTGGCACAGTAACTAAATGAATTTTATCGTTTATCTATAAAGATGATGTCACAATAAAACACACACAAACATACTGATCTCTTTAAAAGATAGGCAAAGGAAGGACTTCTAAACGTCTTTCAATGACACTGAGTGTCCATTCCAGAATTAACTAGTAGAAATGAGAGAGACAGCAAAGACTAGTACAAACATCAAAGCAAAAGCTGAGAATTTAAAACTGCTTGAAGAACTTACACTGTACCTATGCTAAGGGAAATAAATGGGATTTTGGAAGCAGAATTTAAATTATTCATTGCCATAGTCCACTAATTTGAAGCTTAAAAGCCCTGTCCTACCAGCAATGACTGCCCTGACTAATGGACACTGGCAAGGACACATCTACTAAGGGCAGTCTGTGGCTGGCTTCACTCTGAGATGTGCTTTTCAAGTTCAAACATGAAGGGAGACAGCCAGTGCCTCAACTGAAAAGGAAACTCATGCTTGCCTATAAAATTATGATACTAGAGTCACAAAAAGGTATCCAAATAAAATGTCCTTTTTATCTATTTCTTAGCTTAAGAGAATCATAACCCCACCAAATTTACATCATGCATGCGAAGGAAACATTTTCTTAAAATTTTTGTCTTTTAAAAACAATTCTAAGGAAATTAAAAGGTAATCTTAGTTTCCCCCAAATGGTCTTGCTAGGAGGAAAACAACCAAACCATCTACCCATATCATTTAACATCATATTACTAGAGTTTTATTCCTGAGTAAGAAACTTGAAACCTGTGAATCTACTGCTAAGGTCCTTAAAGATTGAATCTTCAAATAAATATCTGCTATCCCAATTTAATCAACCATAGATCTAGAGTAGTTAGAGGAACCAAGCCATTCCACCAACAGAATGCATCCTCCTGTCCTGAGACTTTCAAGATAGGTTCATGAAAGAATTTCATTCTCAGTGAGAAATCTGTTCTGATGCCCAGCACTCTTCTATGCATGTGGTCAGAAACAGACCACTCCCATAAAAGCATAGTGGACACACCCAGGGAGCAGTGCTGGCCTGCCCATGGCACACTAAGGCGGTGGCTACCAGGAGCAGCAGGCAGGAGCTAGTGATAGAGTGTTTTGGAAGGGGGGGTTACACAACACTGTGAATGCACTAAATGCTACTGACCTGTTCAGATCAAAAAAGGCAGCTGTTTTTTAACATGTAAATTACACTTCAATAATCATTTAAGGAAAATGCTACAAAAATGCACAACAGTTGCAACATTTGCTCACAACCACTGTGGCAATTGCGAGGTCTTTCCCATGATCAGTGTGTCATCACATACAGTTTCATCTTCATTTACTCTGAAGTACATAGGGAAGAAAGAGATAAAGGTCTACATTTCCTCTGAACATCTTAAGGTACACGTTTTCTACGTTCTTACTATAACTTATTTAGAAAGAGCAGCCTTGGGACAGTCAAATATGCAGCAGGCCAGAAGTGCTAAAGGACCTGCCTTCCCTGGCCAAGTGCCAACTCCACAATTGGCAGGCCTCCTGCCGCACTCACCTGAATGACCCCTTCCATCATGCTCACCATCTTGTTGACCACGGCGATGACCTTGTGCGTGCGCTCCGTGGGGCTGACATCGGGCCTGTGCTGGCTGGACAGTACATGCCGACATGCCATGTACAGCACATAAGTGGGGGACAACTTAAAATGTACTGTAGAGCTATTCGTGTAATTGATAATGGCAGATAAAAAGGAGTCTTCAGCTGTAAAAAGATTGTAAGATAGAAAACAAGAACGTAAAAGTCATATGGGAAAAAACCAAACAAGAAATAATGCACTAACAGCAGAATCTGAAAATACTCACCACTTTCCCTGAATTCGATGCTGGCAGGCAGCATCAGTTCTGGCCCAGCAGCATCCTGAGTTCTAAGAAGGAAAGTTAAAATGTGGTCACACATCTACCAACACCACTGGCCACCTGCGTGGATCTCAACAACTACTTTAAGTCTCACATGACTTTCAAATGGGAAATAAAAAAACAGCTCTTGCCTCATAGGTGATCCATTCAGACACTGAGGCAAACAGATGGGGAACGATCTTATCAGCACCCCCCACAGAATACCAGCTTCTCTGAGTACACACTACCATGCCCAAGCAGCTCTAATACACGATCCTGTATTGCTAATAAGCACTCCTGTCTGGGACAGGGATCAGGTTCCTGCACATGCTACACTATGGCTCAGGTGACAGTGAAAAGACACCACAAGAGACACCCAGAGAAGCTGAGCCAGGGTGAGCTGGAACCCAAGTCCAACACTTCCTAGAAGTGGGACATCATTTGTCCTTCTCTATTAATGGGCACCAAGGCTGGGTGTGGCAGCGCATGCCTGCATCCCCAGTGGCTCAGGAGGCTAAGGCAGGAGGATCACGAGTTCAAAGCCAGCTTCAGCAAAAGCAAGGTGCTGAGCAACTCAGAGAGACCCTGTCTCTAAATAAAACACAAAATAGGGCTAGGGATGTGGCTTGGTGGTCGAGTGCCCCTGAGTTCAATCCTTGGTACCCTCCCCTGCCCCCCACCCCCCAAAAAAATACATTGATGGGTACCAGAGAAGAAGACTTTTAGGGTTTTCCTAGCCACTCAGTACCAAAGCCTCAAATAGGCATCTACTTACTCCTGTCTTCTTAAGGTACTTTAGCATCAGTTGGCCTGACACTACATAAATATGGAACTAATTAAAAAAATAAAGAAAAACTAGAGTTTGGAGCATTTCTAAGAACCAGCATTGTGCTAATGTTTACCTATTTCCAGGTTTTCAGGATCAAGTTATTTCAAAAGATAAGGACATTTCTATTGCTGTATGAGTTCTTCCAACAGTGGGTCACCACCCAATGGAGATGCATCAGATGACCTTGGGTTGTGATAACAGTCAAAACACATCTGAAAGCCACTGCTAAGCACAGACTTTCTAAAACATGTATGGGAAACAATCACAACTCCAATTTAAATCTCCTGCTTTCCCCATTGGATAGTGCTTAACTTAAATATCCTTTCTCTTAGATATGTAATTAGGACCGTGAAGTTAGTATTCTTTAGTTTGCTACTAGCTATACTTTATATGTAATATTTACCAAAAGCTAGACATACACACACACAGATGAGTGATTAGCGTCCGTAACATTTCAAAATCTTTATCTTTTAGTGAATTTTAACAGACAATAAGAACTTTCAAATATCCTGTCTTTGAGAAATCAAGAAAATTGACAGCAGAAGCCAAAGAACATGTGTCCTTCCCTTTGTGCATACAAAAGAAAAATTGAGTTGTGTGGATTAGTGATTTATATTGCAAGGAAAATATCCATTGAGTTAAATACTGACTTCAATCAACCTGAAGTTAGCTCAAACTCAAATAAACCATGTATCTGTGAGATGGAAAGCCAGCGCAGCTGTTGGTCATCTGAAACTGAGCTACTTAGCAGACCCTGGGTGACTGCCTGCCAGCAGCAACACTTCAGTGGGGACTGACAGCTGGTGGCGAGCTGCTGAAGCAAGCATTTAGAATCACAGGTGCGTTCACTGAATGAATAAACAGAGAGCAGAAAAAAAAGAAGCCTGGGCTGGGTTCTCAATCTCCTCCCTCCACCCTCACCCTCCCCCAGCACCAGGTAAGCAAGGAGAACAGGAATATCATGTGTGTTAGCATAAGTTATTACACTCCTAAGGGTAAATCCCCTTCTTATCAAATTGTGCTCTTTAAAGTTTATTTTCTAGCTTATGATTTGATCATTTGGATTTAACTCAATAATTTAGAAAAACCAAGATGCTCTTATAAGCAGAATATAATTTAAATTCTCAATGACTTTACTATACCTCTCTCTTACACTGCTGAATTTACAGACACCTAAACTGCAGATAGACAGTTACTTAATGGATTTTGTCTTTAATAACTCACAAAACGAACCTAGATAAACCTTACCAATTATTTATTTCATAATTTTAACAAATCTGGTAAAAGTAAGGTTAAACTGTGATTAGAAAAACAAATTGTGACAAAAGGATTTTTTAAACTAAAATTAGTACTTAAGGAGCAACATTGTGTATAGGTAAAGAAATGAGAAACGTGTCATAGTTTTCAACTTACGGATGTTTGCGTGAGGACATGAATCCACTTGGGGAGGGAAAGACTGCTCAGGATGTATAACATTAATAAATACGGGTGCTGTGTCAATATGGTATCAAAATACCCATATGATGGTTAATTGTATGTCAGAAATTTATTTTTTATAAGAACACATTTTAACTAAATATTCTGCATGGTAAAATCAGTTTGCAAAGACTCAAGGTTTTGTTTGAACTGTAAACATGTTGCTTTGTTGATATTAAGACAAGATGAAAGCAGATGAGCCTTTCTTTCCATTCCCACCCTCTTCTCGCTGTCTTCACACCACATAGCTTTGGAACAAGTAACACTTATTTAATTGGTACAGTCATGAAATCCAAGACACTTTAATAAACACATTTAAAATACTATATGTAATCACTCAGACGGAGGACACTGAAGTCTTACAACGCACAGTGACTTCTGCTGGAAGACGGGAAACTGAACAACTGCTTCCCCACCAATTGCCTCCGCTACTGCAGGGCTGACAGGGAACAGTCAGCTGGCTTCCTCCAGGCTCACAGAGCACCTGCAGCTCCCTGCTCTACAGGACAGGATCCCATCGACATTTCAGAACAGGTACTGGACAACACAAGCTCTGGTATTACTGTTTAACATGTAAACTGTTCTGGAAGTCACAAGGATACAGAATTTCAACTTATTAAGGTGAGACATTAAAAATCCTAAGAAAAAGAAACAGAAAACAGAAGTTCTCTCCCTAAAGACCAGTTAAAAACAAAGCCATGGGGAAAAATCATTTATCCTCCACCTGTCTGCCACATCAGAAACAGGGGCCACACATGGCCCTCTGACATGCTTCAAGATTCTCTTCAAAGTCAGTTTGGCTTTGTATCTTTCTAAACATTAAAGATTTCTTCTAGAAATAGGTGAAATGACTGGTTTCCTCTAAATAAAAGAATTATCAATATTAAGGTCCTGTAAAAACTTCTTCCTTTACACATTGTCACAGAGCAGGCCATTTGGAAGAGCTACCTTATTACTCAAGGTGCAGCTTGCATCAACTCAGTAAAGCTACAGCATATGAGGGACACAATTACTAACCAGATAATTTTTTTTTAAATTCAATAACACAGAAAGGAAATACCTTAAAAATATAATTGAAGGTATTCTTAAAATGTCATTCTAAAATGCAGTTATACATAGTTTGGTATCTCTTGCCTCCAAGCCCTCTAGGAATGCTTTCCCTCCTAGAGGCTTCATACAATAGTCCCTACCTGCTCTCCTGCCTGCGGTAGTCCTGCTGCTGATCCACGCGGATCATAGGCTTCACCATCCCTCGTTCAGCCGTGCTGGAGGTGGAGGACACCCTGTCGCTGTCCAGCCTGGTGGTACTCTGTGCCAGGGGAAGCACAGTGTGTCAGTATGCATGCAAACCAGGCTCTGCATCTTGCACTCAGCACTCTAGGCAGACATCGGATTCAGGACTGCCTTTTGGAAAAGGAGCAGCAAAGCCCGGTCAGCTCCCTGCAGCCCAGTCCACAGCAGCATGCCCAAAGCACTTGGCACCGAGAACAACATGACATACACAGCCACTTCTGTTTTCAAGAGCTAGGAGTGAGCTAGCAAACAGAAGAGAATTGCGAGCTGTGTGTACAGCAAGAGCTGTGGGTCTTTTGTTTATTTATCAGTCTTACGATCAGATGTAGAAAGTCTGCTTACTTTACAGCTCAAAACCTAGAGAATTCAGCACAGAAGCTGATTTCTAATCACTACAAAGCAAAAACACGTGGTGGTCCAATATAGACATAGTTAAGTACTTGTAAACAGTAGACTAACCATTTGCAAGGCACACAAAAAAGAAGAGAAAACCATCAAAACACATTCAAAAAAATTAATGATAAATTAAAAATTAATATGATAAATTATTTCATCCAAGAAATCATCTACTATAGAAACTGAATGTAGGTAAGAAGTAAATGAAGACTGTCCTTATCTTACTACCCACAGATTAAAATTGAGTATGTATTTTTTCAGTTTTTCATATTTTCCATAAATGGGATTATATAACCCATTTTGTGCAATACTCTTCATATACTATAAATACCTTACATCACTATTTTATATTACAGAATTATAATGGCTCTACAATATTTTGTTATCTATCCATCATAGTTCACAAAGTCATTAATGCTTTATGACATTGCTAGGGCTAATCACATAAAGAGTGCTATGACAGCTATGCCATGGATACACATTTCTGTGCACAATAATCACTTCAGGAGACACACTTGGAGACTCCAATTCCCTGGCCAGTCACTGACAATACTGTTTGGATGACAAAAATCTGTTACAAATGCTAGTAACAAGGTGATGGGTAAATAAATCACAGCATATTTACATCCACATGAGTCTGTTTTACTTAACTTTTAAAAACACAAGAACATGCTCACAGAATGACAGCTGAAGGAAGCAGGACACAAAGGTATGGAAAAGAAACCTGCCCATTTGTGCTGAACTGTGTCGATGAACACGTGTACACAGCTCAGAAGCGGGCCAGCAGCACACACTGGATGAACAGTCTTCATTCTCTCTTCTCTCCACCTATCAAGGCTGTCTTGTCAACTACAGCTGCTTATGAGTAATGGCTCTGCTTGGCTCCAAGAGCACTTACTCAGTTCTGCATGAGATAAATGCTGTGAAGTGCCAGGCACTTTTCCAGGTAAGGGAAGCACAAAAATGGCCTGTGGAGCAAGAACCCTGTGTCCAGAGCTCTCAACCCCTTCTGATGGGAGAGACAATCTCATGCAGGAGCAGGCCAGTGGGACCGAGTAGCAGCAGAGCAGAAGCAGATTAGGAGGGAAGGTGAAGCCAGGCAGGGCTGTGATGGGGGCTTAAAGCAGTGCACCAGCACCATTGCATGCACATTTTTAAAACAGGAGGACGGGAGACAGGTGGAACCCAGCACCCGTGATGCCAGAGCTGTTCCAGAGTCTTCTGAGGCAGATGTACACAACGTGCCTGTCCTCATCAGAGGCTGAATGAAGAAAAAGAATCAAGGGCAACTTCCATCAGGTTTGTGTTGGGCAATGTCATATGGATGATGACATTACTTACTAAGGTGGAGAAGGATCAGGAGAAGAAGTAAGTTTGAAACAGATCTAGTCTTGCATTAGCTATGTTAAGTGTGAAGTTTGTTCAGACACCCACATGGAGATGCCAAGCAAGCCTCTGGAGATCAAAGTCTGAAAAGGTCAGACCCTAGGCACACATTAGGGGACAATGAATGTCAGATGGTGTAACCTTAAGCAACAGGGCAATTCAACAAGAGACGTGCATAAATAGAAGAGTAGGGGCCTAGGCTAGGCTGAGGGTTGGGCCCAACCCTCCCAGCTTCAGAAGACAAGCCTTCAAGGAAAAAGGACCAACCAGCAATCAGCCTGAGTAGGGACTACCAGGCAGCAGGGAATGCTCGGGAGAGGAACCCTGGAAATCAAAAGCAAGCACTTCCAGGAGTGGGCACAACTGGACACTGCCAGGAAGCATGATGCAGAAAGTCAGGCTGCACCTGGCAGTACAGAAGCCAGCAGGAGCACATTAGGGTGTGGAGTCTGCAGTGGAGACAGCCATTATACACAACTGTTCTCAAGAAACTACAGTGTGAATTGAAACAGGAAAACGGGGTGGACAGCTGGTGGAGGACACAGCAAAGGTCCCTAAAGTCAGGAGATCCTGTGACATGCTCTGATGTGGGAGAGTACTCCCAGGCCCTTGCTGCTTCATGGCCACCAATGAGCAACACCCTCTGTGGTGCTCCTCCCTTAGAACCAGGATGAGCCTGTGGTCTGCTTCAACCAGTACAAGGCAGAGGCATGACACTGTGCCACCCTGGGCGTACCCCTTAGAAAGGTCTGGAAGTACCAAGTTCTTTGAGCCACCCTGCCACTACAAGACCAGCAAACCAACTGCCCCAGTAGTTCCAACAAGACCTTACAATTGCAAGCAAAGAAAACGCCTACTGTGGCAGCCACTGAGCTTTGGTGTAGCTTGTGATCAAATGAGGAAAGGGACACACTGCACAGGAACTAAGGATAACTGTGGAAGGGCCACGTCTGAGAGGTCAAGCAATAGGAGTAACAAGAGCAGGGCACCACCTGCAGGCCCGTGGGCACCTGAAAGGACAAACAGGAGGAGTCTTGGGAAGTGTGCATCACGTGGGAAAGAAAGCACAACATCCCTGCGTGGGAAAAAACAGCAGTCCTCTGACTTCTTCCATGCATCACTCTGAACTCACAGAAGAACAGGAAGACCGCTGTGGTCTGTCTTTACAGGGGAGTGCTGTGGATGCAAGGCCAGTGTGTGGCCAGTGTCTGCCCATGGTGTCCTCTCAGGTCACAGGCATGCCACCACCTACCCTGCTTGTCGGCAATGCTGTCCCACTGTGGACATCTCCTCCCAAGTCAAAGGTTGTTTCTGGAACAGTCCTGGCCAAATGAAAAGAAACGTGGAATTAATTTTCAAATGACAGGGAAAAGTTTCTCAATGATTCAACAAGAACAGTTAGTTAAATATCCCACGGTTCTAAACGTCATCAAGAAAATTCTCTATTTTGAGCACATGGATATAAAAAATTTTTTTAAATTATAGTAAATTTATGAACTTTTCTTCCTGGCATATACTGAATACTCAGGATTGTATTAAAATCTATACTTTAACAACAAGGAATTAATTGACATAAACAAAGAGTATATTTCATCATATTTGGGCTGCAAATGACGTATAAATGAAGTAAGTGCACAGACTGAGGTGCCCAGGACCCTCTGAGGATGCAGCTACAGGAAAGGTGAGCTGCGGCCAAGATTGAGAGCCACCCTCCTGCTGAGAGACGGCTGGTGGGAGTTGTGAAGCACATGGATATCACCATTTAAGCTATAAGACAGACCTTGGAAACTTTCAGTAATGCTATCTCAAAATACCAAAACTTCTAAACGCATCATTAAAAAGTAACTCAGAATAAAACAAATATCATTTTTCAGAGCAAAAAAGGCTGAGGAAAGCTGTATTCTTTGGCACAAAGAAAGGGTGAATCGATCCATTGGTTCCAACCTAAGGAGAAAAAGATCCTAAAATCACCTAGAATCAATGGCTAATGTCCTGTACTGCTTGCTATACAGAATCAAAAAGAATGAAATCACTTTTGCCTAATATTTGAAAAATATATGGTCTATAATTTCAAAGCACCATGCTACTTGAAATTTTTATTTAAGCTCAATCTATAGAATTAAATAAGTATTGTGGTAGCATATACAATTTTACAAATTAGAAAAGCAGGTATAAATTCCTCTACCTCATCACTAAGAAAATGAAACTATATTGTAATGTAAAATAATACAATGCTTTATATAATAGCTTTTGAAAGAAATTAAAGCTTTTACTGCAGGCTAAACACTTATCAGCTTTCTATAAACATCACCAAGTTTTTCTTAGTAATCATCTGTCACCAAGATATTCATAAAAACATGGAAGTGCTTTGCTGGCCTCAGGGGATTTGAATGAGACTCTGTTGCACTATTGCTACTGATGTCTGATGGGGACAGAGAGACACACAGCTTGCCCTCTGTGCTGCCCATCATACACACGTCACCCTCCTGTGCTCTCTTAAGGACAGAACATGAGTATGACCACACCTTCTTGCTCTTCATAATTAATGTCCAGTAACCAATTCACAGCACCACACAAAGCTTTCTAATCCTTCCGCCAAAGCTTCCTCTTTCAAGGTTAGCATGGGCCATCCATGCTGTTTTGGCATCTGAAAAAGTCCAGAGTGACTTACTGCATGGCCATGATGGGTCCCATCTCCCTGTCCTCAGCACTGAAAACACAGAAGCACAGCCCCTGGGCTTCCAACAGACACACACAAGATGTACACATGAGGCATCAGTGCATCATTCCAAGACCTTCTCATCCCAGACTGACCCTCAGTACCAAAATTTGCCACCTGCCGGTAGACACCCACAATGACCTGAAGATGGGCTCTGACATCTGTATCCAAGAGCTTGGCTATTACCTCAGAAATGAGTGTGGCAGCTGGACAGCAGAACAAAGTGAATGTTTACAAAAAGAGATCTCTTCTAATTCATGAACCACAACAGTTTTCATGAGCATTGCCAGAAAAATGTAATAATAAAAAAATTTCACATCACATTCTTCTTATTGAAACCTAAGCCACATTCTTATATTCTGGCCAGAGACATAGTGAGAAGAAACAACTGCAGGCTTTCAAAGCAGGAGTCAGAGGGCAAACACTCAAAAGGAGCTTGACCATGTCAAAAACAGAAAAACTACAATAGCAAAACCGAAGGGCCCACCAACATGGGACAGGGGTCCCTCCCTCAATCACAATTACCTGCAGCAGCAGACACCGGCGAAGTAGAAAAGAACATGGAAGCAAATCACAGTGCAGAAGCAAAGGGCAACTGCACACAAGAGCAGTAACCGTGGACAGGGGCTACCACTCCAGAAAAGCACAGCTTGGTCTGAGGTTGTGGCTCAGTGGCAGAGTGCTTGCCTAGTATGTGTGAGGCACTGAGTTAGATTCTCAGCTCTGCATATAAATAAAGACAATAAAAGGCCCAGTGACAACTAAAAAATTATTAAAAAAAAAAAAAAATCACAGCTCGCGTGTGGTCTTTGATGGAGCTCAGCAGCCAGGAGTGAGGAGGAGGACAGTCTGCACACAGGCACACTTCACCCCATCCAGGGAGAGCCAGGCTAAGGAAGAGTACAAGTGAGACTCAGGACAGGAGCAGGAATTGGGGAGGTGGCTAGTGAGGGGAAATCTGAACACCGGTGGTCCTGGACACAGTGGAAGGATGAATGCAGACATATTCAGTTTCAAGATGAAGGAAGGTGGTGGAAAGGAATAGGTTTTCCTAGGAAGGCACTTGCTAGTTTTCTTTGGAAACCTAGAGGTTTGGCCTTTTGCTAAAACCTCAGCTCAAGTGGAGCTAGGAACAGATCTGACTAAACAAACATATGTTTGTTTTGGAGAAAGATCAATGTCTAACTAATAATACCTGGCCCAAAGTGTAAGCTCTGGGTAGATAACCAGAGATGTCATGGGAAAACTAACGGGAGCAACAGAGCCCGTCAGAAGTCTGGTTTACGTCTGTGCTGGATGGAAAGCTCACACTTCAGTGGACTTTTCAAGATGTTTTAAATAGCACAGAGGAAGAGCTACTGCAGCTGTTTTTCCAGATCAATACCTATTAATCTGCAATACAGATAATAAAGAAGCTCGACGTGTATGCTTCAACATTACCATTATCAAAAGGCAGTAATGCCTTCTAGGGTTTCAGCAACAGGCCACCCTGAAGGTCCTCAGAGCACCTCCAGGTGGAGCTCATGTGCTCTGAATTCCTTGAGAGACCTGGGCGTGCTCTGTTAACAGTTGTAGAAAAAAACACTTCCCTAGAAAATTTCAAAATCCCAATCACACAAGACAATTACATAGAATATTGTGCTCTTCTACGAAGGAACAAGTATTGTTCTGGTGTACTGGCTTAAAAAGAGATTAAACATAAACAATTCAAAATCCATTAGAAATTCCAGTATCAAGATGAAGTCATGCTCTTTTTCCCTCTAAAACAAACCCAAATTAATAAGAATAGGAACCAAAATTACAAATCCTGCTTTAACTTTTTTCAAAACTAAAATAATAAAAAAAATAAAAAGTCAAGCCATTTACACTTCAGCCGATGACTCCTAGTCAGAACACACTGTTCCCACGGCTCACCCAGGCTTATGTCTTGGGCCCTTCCCCATCAGGCCTCCGTCCACAGATCTCTTGGCAAGAGCATGGTCCTGGCTGGGGTCCACAAACTTAAACACATGCGACACCCCAAACTGCACTTTCATGCCACTCTGCAGCATGGTGGTCTCCGAGATGCGCTGGCCGTCCACGTAAGTCTCCGCATCCATACTTCTAGGTGTCACGGTGACCACACCATCCATGTTGGTGAGGTCACAGTGATGAGGCTGGATTCCTGGGCCAAAGAGCTGGAAGCACAAGGGAACCAGAGGCTTGTTCAAGCACACACAGATTTAAAGACAAACTGAAACTGTGAGTTCCCCTTCTATGATCAATATCACCCAATGAGCTCTGGATTCTTGGTGCTTTCTTAAGTGCATTTTCCCCAACACCAACAATATAAAATCATGCAACACTGCCAAAACACTAAGGCATTTTTAGCATCTAGTAGCGTGATTTAAGGAATATTTTAACTCTGCATTAAGAAGCACACAACTGAGCCTGGGGATGTAACTCAGTGGCAGCACCTGCCTAACACACACAAAGACTGGGTTCCCTCCAAGCCCTGGGGAACAAAAAAGACAGCGGTAGCAGCATCACATGATTTCTTAAACACTTACTAGGTAATTTATGGACAAATATATAGAGATAGTTTTGATTAAAACTCCCCGATTTCGTGTCTCACTGCTAGGCTAAGAATGAAGGAATGTAAAACTAAAAACCCTACCTTTTCACAACTGAAAATCAAGAAGATCGAGAGTGATTTGCTGGAGTTCAAACAAGTGATAAATCCTGTGCTAGGTTCTGTTTCAAGCTCCCAAGAATTACCTCCAGTCCCTGATCACTGAAGGCCACGACTGCGCATCAGACCCACTGGCAGGAGCTTCCACAGTTATCTCTTTCACCATCTTGTGGAGAAAGTCCACAGCCCTTGAGGAAGGCCACAGGCCCACATCTCACTCACTGACTCAGAGTGGAAGTAAGGGCTACAGTTTTCCTTCACCCACGAGTGAGCTCCGTGGCAGGCTCTCCCCTGTGATTGTTGCTAAGGACATGTGGGAGCCACCGCAGAGTGTGGGGCCCAGAGTTGCGGCACCACCACTGCATACCTGGATGGAGTTGTCGTCCAACCTTTCTGTCCCAACTTCAGTCACACTCAGCTGAAGGCGGTAAAGCTTTGGCTTGTCTCTGGAGTCAGAGCCATCTGTGAAGAGAGAGGGAGAGAGCTCTGCGTGCCAAGTCTAATGTTCTTGCTATTTGAAACAAAGGACTCCCTTGGAAAAGACATTACATCTCAGCCTTCTCAGAATTTTTAAGACCTCTCCAACTTGCATTAGAGAGCTCAACAAACCAAATGCAGAAACTTCCAAGAGAGAAGCACACTAGCTTCTGTTTACTGTGAAATGGGAAGACTGCCACTCACCCCACCCTCTCATAAGAGGAAATACTCCCCACCACACTGCCAGGGGCTCCGCTAGGATTCTGAGGTAAGGGAATCAGCAACAGTAAGATCATTAAAGACACGTGGGCCTTTCCTTCAGCCCAGGACCTTCACAGGGCAAACCGGCCACCTTCACGGCACACCCGGACCTCCTAGCGCACAGTCCCAGGGTGAGGTGTAGGTGTAGACTCCCAACAAGTGACTCTGACGACCATCCCTGAAGAAGACAAGCTGGTGAAGAGCTCAGTTCCTTAGGCAGAGCTGGAGTGAATGGCAGGAAGGAAGACTGGGTCTGTCTGGGTTCTGTCACTTTACCATCTCTGGACTGTCAGCACTCGTAACTTCCATGAACATGACTCTTCACGACAGGGGAGGGGAGGAGGTGGAGGAGGAGAGCAGGCAGTACTGTCAGGCCTCTGTCCTGTTTACGTGAGGCACATCCACTCACTCCTCAGCCACTCTACCCCTGCTGGTGCAAGAGGGTATCCCCTGAAGGCTTCTCTGGTTTCAGAGTTCACATGTGAGAATGCACACCTCACAGAATCCAAGAATTAGACACCATCTCAGACCCCAATGTACATACCACAACCATACTTTTCAATCCCGTGGCAAAAACAACAAGCAGTTTCCTCAAGAGGCACTTGCGAGTCTGCCTGACCTGTTTCAGGACTCTCTGAAGAACTCCTACAATCTCATTCCTATGATCAGGAATGTGAGCTTCAGGGCTTCAGAAGTTGGAGGTCCTTGCAGCGTGAGCGTGCGGAGTTCTGGCCAGCTGAACTCTGCTGAAGTGAACCTGAACTCTCACAGACAGGGCACCATGAATACACTAGACTCTACAAAATAGCATTCTAATGACAACTGCTTTCTATTTCTGAAATGTTTCAGAAAGCTATGACTTGTGGGTAGGAAAGAACAGCATGTGACTCTACAACACTAACCCATCTGGACATTGACCTGTCCTGATCCAGGCAAGGCATAAAGACCTCTGGGGCTTTTCCTGGACCTGGGCACTTCCCTTCACCACCTGGAATTTTGTTCATTTTAAACACCCTGGGCAGTTCTAAGACACATGCCTCTTCTGTGTCCAGAGCACCACACCTCTTCCTCTTAACCATGCACCATGTTTTATGAAGACTCCTACCAATTCGTCTCCCTGCTCGTCGGGCTCCTTAGTGGCCAGGCTATACCTGGCCCTTGGCACTCAGTCAGTGTCCACAAAGGCAGTTGTCCATCGGCAGTGCATGAAGAGCAACTAATACTAGGTCATGCAGTCAACACAGGTACACAGACACTATGCCAACAGAGCAGAAAGGAAGCACAGGGGACAAACATGCAAGCAGGTGAAACAAGAACAAGTATTTCAATATAAAGTTAAAAATGTTAAGAACATGCCGGGCATGGTGGCACATGACTGTAATCATGTGCTTAGGAAGCTGAGACAGAAAAATCACATGTTCAAAGCCAGCCTCAGCAACTGTGAGGCACTAAGCAACTCAGTGAGACCCTGTTTCTAAATAAAATACAAAATAGGGCTGGGGATATGACTCAGTGGTCGAGTGCCCCTGTGTTTTTTAATTCCCGGTATCAAAAAAAATATGTAAGAACATAAAAGATACATCTGTTAGGGGGAGACAAGAGAAATGCACACCAATATTCCTTTGAAATGTCAACCTCCGAAAGCTTCCAAAAGCTGGCCCTGAGCTGCTGTGTGCCTTTCTACACCCATGGATTTGGAAAGAGAAAGGAGGGAGAACACAAGCTGCTTCTCCAGGCTCTGCTTTCTCCCCACATTGCTACAGAAGAAATCAGAGAGGATACCTGTGCAGACCCAGAACACCCTGGTAGGGCCCAAGGCCAGTTGGCAAGTGGTGTTTGGTCCAAGGTAGGGGAGCAGGAGGAGTGAGCAGGGCGGCAGGGTCTGGGTGCCTCCTGCCCTTTCTGTGACACCTTAGGTCCTGCTCCTGACCAACAGCAGCTGATCATCTCCAAGCCAGACAGTAAGACTGCTCCCTCAACAAACACCCCAACATCCTCCCCTTCCTCTACAGACAGCCAACTTCAGCCCCAAGAACTGGAACATCTTTCTCCCAGTGGACAGCTACAGTCGACCTGGAACACCCTGGCACACAGGTGACTCAGCAGAGTGGTCCTCCTCCCAGAAACCTGCCTCTGATACAGTGTCCCTTGTCCAAAACCATCAGGACCAGAAGTTTCAGATTTTGTATTGCTTAGATTTGGGGGCATTTGCATGTACATGACATTCTGGAGATAGAGCCCCAGTTGAAGTATTGGCTTCCCTTGTGCCTCATATACATATGCTATGTTCCAACCTTGACCCATTACATGAGGCAGGTGTAAATTTCCATCTGCATGTGGGATTTTCAGGTGTGGAAGGCTCCACCTTAATGTGAGGGGGCAATGGACTGGCATGAACAAAGCCTACAGACACCCTAAAGGCACTTCTGTTTTCTGTCTACAGTAATGCTGCAGCCCGCTGGGCCCAGCCACAATTGCTCCCCAGGGCGAACCTGGAAAAGCAAGAGCAGCAAAATAGGCTTCTAGTCAACCAAGTGGGTTCTGACACAGGTGCTGCACAGGCATGAACAATAGGACAGTACATTACATTTCTTGGACATGCAATAGCAGGTCATCAGTGTTATTTTGCCATGAGGTTGTTAGTGCACAGTTACAAAAGTAGTATGAAGCATAGCATTACCTTCGTAAGTGTGACAGCTGTAGTAGGCAAAGTGACTCCTTCTCCCTGGGGCTGAGACACAACCAGGACCCAGGTGAAGGCAGCATCAGCAGGACAGAAACCATGCAGAGCAGCAGAAGAGGGAAGGAGGAGAAGAGACGCAGAGGTGAACTTCAGTGAGACTCGGTTCAAAGGAAGAAAAGGTACACTTTACCCTCAGCTTTCAGAGCTGTGCAGACAAGACTACAGTAGTGCCCCAGTCAGTGTTCTAGAATCAGTGAGACTGTTAGGAAAAACAGGACAGCAGGTGAGTCACCACGTGGCAGGACAGCAATAGCGAGTGAGCTACAGAGGTCGCCACCCCGCCTGGCCGACAGCCCTGCTTCAAGAGCACATTCAGATCCACACAAAGAAAGCTGCGCCCTGCCCATCCCTCCCACAGCTGGGGTAAGCTCACACCACATATTAAAACCTCCCTCTGCATCCAGCAGGACCTCACCGAGGTTGTGTGCTTGGTTGCCCTGTGCCCAGTCAAGACGCAGTACTTTTCCATTCATAACAAATTAATATGTACAAATATTCTTTTCTTATGAATGGAAAAAAGATCAATTTCATTCAGCATGCAGACTGAGCAATCTGAGAACCTAGGAACACCTCATAACCTAGTGAAAGAACACAGCCTTTGGTGCAGGAAAGACCTGGCCTAGCATTCAGGCCTTCCACCAACCCTGTGGCCCTCAGGACAGCACAAAGAGCTCCAGTCCTCGGGCACCTGTAAAGAAAGAGGAAAGTTCTCCCTGGCAGCCACAGAAGGTGGAGGCTGCGCAGACTGGAGATGGTCACTATTACAGAGCTGTGGCTATTTCCTGGCATGGGGACTCCCTGACAGGATGATCTTAGTCACCGCTGCACTCGCAGCTCTGCCCACAGCAGGAGCTCAGTGCATGCTGCAGGAAAGCAGCAGAGTGCCAAGACCTGCCAATCAGCATCTGGTGGAATAGCACAGAAATGCCATGCATCTAGGGCCCATCATCTTCCCACCCCTAAAAAAAGTCTATACATTTGATTATGTGAGAAACTGAAAGTATAAAATAAGCAGCTCAAATGGGAATTCCTACTAGAATGTGAGATTGGGTTTGATCTGCTTGGTCAGGGCTCCACCTGTATAGCCCAGAAGGTGCCCAGTGTTTAATAAGTAAGTGTCTAATAAACAAGAGAGACAAATACAGCCTGGCTCTGGTAGCCACCAGAATCAGCTTCCCACTCTTCACTTGAAAATCTCTGTTGGCTGCTTTTTATCAACTTCTCTAAGGTCTAAACATTCAAAAAAATGGTTTTAAAGAAAATAATCATAGTTTCCAGCATTTAATGAAAAAATTTTAAAGAGCAGACGTTAATTTGAAAAATAAACAGCTGTCTCTCTGTCACCATGTCCTCCCCCTCAGGTACACAAGAACCTGCACGGTAGGGCAGTGATCCCAGGACAGCGGTCCACACGACAGTGCTGAGGCAAAGCAGCACTGCTGCACTCCCTGGGCATCCTCGAGCATGAGCGTGTGTGGGCTGCCCCCTGCAGCCCCACTGCCACCAACCAGGGTGGCATCAGCACCCTGGCTAACTCCTAAGGCTGCTGGGCCACAAACACCATGTCTCTGCCAATTATAGGGAGCAGCCCAAGGAACTAAACAACCTTGGAAATAAAACTAAATGGTGGAAAATCAAAGAAGAGGAAGTACAATTTCTGCCTACAGACCCACATGTTTTCTACACAACAGATGCATTTTTAGGCCATTTTTTCCTATAATTACTAAACGGGCTGTATTTAAATGAGGTTTCTTTGGGGTGGGGAGGATGGAATAATATCTTCATAATAATACAGGTCACACAATCCTGTTTTAAATAATAAATTCCATAATTTTGGCTGAATGATAAACAAAATGCCTCCTATAGAGTGCCTATGCAATATCCACCACACAGGAATGTGTCTGTGTGGAACTGCTTTAGGAACGTGGGTGCACTGCTCTATCCAAGGGACGACCACGCCATAGCTTTAGCTCAAGCACATGCTCCACGCAGGGTACTCTTAGGACTAGTTAGAAAATAAACTTGGTCTGCTACTTAAAAATCCAGATGGGCTTCTTAAATGCCCTGTTACATTTAAAGATATTCCTTTCAACACTGTGCGCACATTATGAAGAACAGGATGCACACACATACACATATACTAAATATGCCCTAGGAGGAGTAAATTTCAATTTGCTGCTTTTAGCAGATTAAGTATTTAACTAAAGTTATTTTGGGAAAAAAAAATTCTTAAAAGAAAATAGACTGCTTCAAATTATCTTAAAATGCTGTACACATTATTTTAAATTTTATTTAATAGTCCTTTTTGTCCAAATGAACTTTATTTCTATATATTTATATTAAATTTGCTTGTTATTTTAAATAAAAGTCATTTTAAGAAGATTCCTTTTTTAAAAAGTAAGTAGTTTGAAAATGTTAAGTCAGCCAACAGCAAAGACCCATTAATAAGATGCATTAAAAAGCAGAAACAGTCAAAGCTAAAAATGCCCATTTTTAACACTCTCTGGCATGACCAGCTTCCTCACCTGGGCTTAACTCCACTAAGTAGGGCAGCTTCTCAGGGGGGAGAGCAGATCCGTAGCCTGAGCTGTCTGCTCTCTCCTTCCCCTTCAGTGGCTTCCCTTCCACAAGCTTCTTCGCTTTCTTTGGGATGTAGTCTGATGGCCTCCTCTTCAACTGAAAGACTAAAATCCCTGGAACAGGAAAATTGGGAACCATCAGCCAGACAGTCTGGTGTGTAGGTGCTGATGAGCAGTCAAATGCCCAGACATTTATCAAGATGGCCCATCTTAGTAACCTCTACTGAGGAACAAGTAGGCGAAGGCTCGTCCAAGTTACAGGTTTACTCAGTGAAGGAAGCACTAGCCTCTGGTGAGCTGCAATGGCTCCAGCAAACACTGCAAGGATCTTTCAATTAACAATGGGCTTCCAAGGGCATCTTCTGCTGCAAAATGCACATCAGTGTGAGAGGATCCGAGTCTTACATTGGTGGATAACCCATGGTCAGTGACCATTTCCCCCCCCCACCCACACACACACAACCTATTTTAGTTGAGCTGATTTTGATTTAATTCAAATGAATAAATCAGAATTCAAAGCAATTTTTCTTTAATGAAGTTTACCTTTGTACTATCCAGAAAAGTGCTAAGTGTGTATTTTAATGAAGTTAGAAATCTACTTGCTGAGGTGTTTGCTTGTAGGTATTTTTAAAGTTGTCAACCTATGTTTAATACTGATACTATCTAACTGGCAATGAATTTTTATGTCTTTATTGGTGCAAAAGCCCCCACTACTTAAAATTAAAGCACAATTAACTTATAATGCAACTCTGAAAGTTAAAAACCCATGTTTAATAAAATAAAACCCACAGCTTTAAGCCATCACTGTTTTGAAATAATTAGGGGAAATTATTTGAACAATGTCAAGGATGAATTCATTACAAGTTGAGCATCCCTGATCTAAAAATCTGAAATCCAAAATGCTACAAGTTCCCAAACCTTCTGAGTGCCAGCGTTTAACTGGTGGAAGGCAAGATGCAGGTGCACTGAAACAGTGCCCAATGGCACCTGCAGCTGTGTGTGAGGTGCACACCACATGAATTTCATGTTTATAGCTGGATCTCATGTCTAAGATATCTCATTATAAAAATGCAAATGTTCTAAACTTTAAAAAAAAAAATTCAAAATCCAAAAACTCTGACCCTAAGCATTTCAGATAAGGAATACTCAGCCTGTATCTGAAATGACCACAACACTGGGCAATATGTAGGGTTGTAGATTACTTTCACTAGCATAACAAATCTGTCCAAATGCCATAATTCATCAGATCAGTTTAGAAAGTGTTTCACTGCTAACAGGTAACAAAGACCTTGAGCACTACTAATAGTCTGGTGTCTTCCTGAGACATGGTTTTCACCTGTAGTATCACTGTGCAAGATCTGTGCAGGAGACTCAGAGGAGTTGAGCCTGGTGCCACAGACCATGGCACCATGGAGGAGCTACCCAACCAGCCCACAGAGGAGGAGGAACACCATGCAACAAAGAGCCATCAGAAACCATTCATGCAGACAACTGCATCATCTGGTGAACAACAGGTGGGCCATGCGTAATCTGAGGTATCACAGAGGTAATCTCTAATAGTGAAGTCTACCTTTGTCACTTGGCCATTCCCTGAAGATCTGTAAAGGACACTCTTCATCATCAAGGATAATTTCTTTAGCACCTCTTTCATCAGAATGCTGGGCTCCAGGGGGAAGCATAACCTAAAGAAAAATAATTAACAGTGAATATGCCTATAAGGTAAATTAGCAGGCATTCTTAATGTTACTGAATGAATATAATGTCACTGTGATATGGGTGTGATGTTGTACACCTGTGATCTCAGATGAGATAAGGCTGAGGCAAGAGGATTAAGTTCAAGGCCAGCCTGGGCTACTTAGTAAGACCCTGTCCCAAAATAAAATTTAAAAGGCCAGAGATATAGCTCACGGCAAGCATGAGGCCCTTGCTTCATTCCCCAATACCAAAAAGAAAAGTTGCTGTAGAATGAAATTGATGATGCATAATAAACAATTTTCACTAATCATAAAAATCAAATCATCCACTAACATGAAAGAAATAGTTTCAAATAAATAGTTCAGTCAACTGATTGGGCAGATTTTATTCACTTGGCCTCTAAAATGGACTAATCTTGAGTATTTTTATTTGTTACAAACTTCTATATGGAAAGATCATACGTGAAAGCTAACCCCTAAGTAACTTCCTGAGGCAAGACCACTTCCTCATGGCAGTCTTCAACTTCTCCAGTCCCTGGCCCATCTTTTCACTCCAACAACTCTCTCTAAAGCAGTTTCAGACAACATGTCACTCAAAACCAGGTCAGTTTCCTGTACTTGTAGATAATGTCTTGATGATCAGAGTCTAATCAGATTATGTGATACATGCATGACTATTTGTTCTACACACATGTAAGCAACTGTTTTGTGATAGTATGCTTACTTGTACTCTCAACAGATAATGCTGCTGCTTCTTACTATGTGTTCTGACTAGCCAAACACGTTTTCCTAATCACCCAAGAAAGCCTGAGATAGAGAAGACAGTGGCAACTGCCACTCATCTTGTGGCCCTGCACATACCACAGAGTCTATGCATCCTTGTCACTCCATTCAGGGACATCAGGAACCACAAAGAGAAGGAAAGCCAGAGAATCCAAGCCCATTTCTACAATTACTGTGAAAGTGCACCCTAACAGGCCTCACCACCAGACATGTCACCTTACTCACAGACCCAGTGGGTTGCACTCCTGTAGAACCTTGTCATGACTCTCCACAGGGCTTCAGGTTGCCCTGAAGAAGCAAAGCTGTTACAGCACTGCACTCCAGCTTTTTAATCCAGCTTCCTGACCTAGCGCACACACCACCTTGGGACCTTATCTCTACTCAACTCCATTGCCTCAATCTCTTTCACACAACTTCTGAGCCAAGCCACATTGAGGTATGTGCACTTCACAACCAGGTCATGTTCCTCAGGCTTCCAGCACCCCTCTGGCCACCTTTCACATCTGGCCAGCATCCACTCATCCTGCAGCTGGGGCTCAGCAATTTTTTTTTTTTTTAAGTTGCAGATTGACACAATACCTTTATTTATTTATTTTTATGTGGTACTGAGAGGTTGGAACCCAATGTCTCACAAGTGCTAGGAAAGTGCTCTACCACTAAGTCACAACCCCAGCCCCGGGGGGTTATTAGCATTTTGAAGAGCTTTTGCCAACCTCACTTCAATTGAGAAGCTCTGTTGTTTCCTGGCCTTTCTATCCCCCTTAACTATAAGCTCTTTGAAGGACAGCTGTCGGTTTTGTATCCCAGCCCAACATCTAACAAACAGGAAGATCTGTAGGATTTATGAATGACTAATGAATAGGTAGACAGGACAGATGACTGAAGAACACTAACCACTACAGTTCATGAGATGGCAAGCTGAGAAAATAAAAAAAAAATTCTAATTCAGGGAAAAAGAACAATCAGCTCTTGATTTGTAGTGCCTAAGCTTGCAAAAGAAAATTGGTCCGAAAATATTACAGCAGAAAGCCAAAACTAAAGTGACCCTTTAAAGAAATCAACCCAAAGGAACTGTCAATAAACCCAAAGTAAGCTTCTGTAACTTCATGACCCTGGTCAAGGTCTCTTTACTTTCTGATTTCTACCAGTAAAATCACCCACCAATTACTATAAAGATATTAGACTGTTCCTTATTGCATACCAAATCATATGCACTCTTATGGAACTGTCAGAGTAACACATCAACAGGAACATTCCACAGCAAACACTTGAGCAATACCAGGTATCAGGTGCAACACCCTTGCCCCTGCCACATGCTCATAACTCAGTAGATCACAAGGCTGGAAGAGAATCAGGCCACTGTTCACTAGCAGACCCTATCTAAACCACCACTTCACTTTTAATACTTTGACTTAGAAAAATTTTACGACATCACTAACAAATTTCAAGTATAAGGAACACTTATAAAATTTATATAATCCACAGACTTACTCAATTGGTAGATAATGTCTCCCATATACATTATAATGCTTGCTACATATAACAACTATCTCATAAAGCCCTGCGCTGCCTGGCATGGTGGCTCCAACCTGTAATCCCATGACTTGGGAGGCTGAGGCAGGAGGATCACAAATTCAAGGCCAGCCTCAGCAACTTGGCAAAACCTCAGCAACTTAGAGAGACCCTGTCTCAAAATAAAAAATAAAAGGACTGGGGATGGAGCCCAATAGTTTCCCCTGGGTTCCATCCCCAGTATATATATAAAAACAACAACAACAAATACCCCTGCATTATGCATTAAAGTAGGGCCTTCCTCTACTTAATACATACTTGCCAGGAAGAAGAAAGTACACCCAAATGTCTTCTATCCCAAGTGTCTTCCCTTAGGAAACACATCCCACTGTGCCTGCTGACTCCAAATCCAAGGCCATGCGGGAAGAAACCTCCCCACCCCCATCAGCCATTTTTACTGGCTGATGACACTCTAGCTGGAAGGGAAAAGGCAGTCTAGAAGGGCTGCTGCTTCTTTAAAAGCTTGCATCCCAGTATTTCCTTTGGAGTGAAACTTTCCACCTCGCCTAGCCAGTGCGGAGGACTGACCCTGGGTCCACCAAGGTTGTGCCTCGAGCACCTCCCCCCTCACCCTACCCTCCCCACTGCAGGCTTCCGCTGCCTAGCAAGGTGTGGACCACCCATCCTTGTGAGGCCTCATGGAAAACTCTGCTCTCCTGACATCTCTTCCTGCTCTTTTTAATCTTATGCATTTAAACAGCTGAATCCCCTCATTATTTCAACATGAGGAAAATACTTGTTTTCCATGTTTCAGTTCTCAGCTGAAAATTGGGCCATATTCATAAAATTATGGAGCTATTACTCTTTGGATATATGGAAATTAATATGGATCTATTTTTCCAATTGAATATAACTTCTCAGCTTTTCAGCAGAAAGATAAAATTCAAGCAAGCTTCTTAATTAAATTCCCTCTGAGGCTAACAAAAGAGAAACAAGGAACAACCCTGAACCCTGCAAAACATGTCAGGGAAGAGATGCCCTCCATTCACTGCACAGAGCAGAAGGCTCCTTCTCATCAGATGAGAGGCAAACTCAGCCTTAGTCCCAGACAGCTACAGGTAGAGCCTACTGAGCTGATTCTAACAGACATGAAGAAATATAACCCAGAATAAAACATGTTTAAAAGAAAAAGAAAAAATAGGTTCTTATGATACATGATTTTAAGACTTATGAATCTACAGTAATGAAGACAGCTTATTACCGACAAAAAAAAAAAAGGTCATGTATATCACTGGAAGAGAACACAGTCCAGAAAATGAAGCACGTATGTCTGTAGTCCATTGATTCTGACAAAGGTGCCAAAGCAGTAACGAGAGAAAAGAGTTTCCAACCAAGAGAGAATGAACATCAGCCATTATTTCACATAAGAGCCAGCATCAACCTGAAAATCCCAACTCTAAAACACCACGTCCCGAGCATTTTGCCTCAGTAAAATAAGTGCAAGAGTACCTGCAAACCTGAAGGAAGCCAATTCCCACACAGAGTATCAATGGCACAGGAGGCCAAAGCAGAAGCTGGTCTTCAACACAACCAGGAGCTTTTACTCTCTGAAAAGTGTCATTTAAAAAATAAAAAGAAAAGCCACCAGTGGGGGGAAAGTCCACAACACATAGATCACAGGTAGGACATGACTCTAAGATATAAAATTCAACCACAAAGGACAGTGCTAAATGCCTGTCAGAAGGGCCAGCACTTCGGAAATGCAATGACTCCAGTTTGGGAGTGGAAAAGGATGCCGCTGGTGGGTGTGCAACAGCATCACTGGAGCCAGCTCCTGGCTTCCTAAAATGTCCGCCGCGTGCACCTGCCATGAGAGGGAGCCACTGCCTTGCTGGGAAGTCACCCCAGAGAAAGCATCCACAGGAAGCCCGAGCACCTGCTTTCACAAAAGCCTTCTCTGAAGAGTGAGCTGAGAAGTGGAAGCAGGCCAGGTGTCCATCCACAGGGACATGGCTCATGACTGGTGTGACTACACACTGACACTACTCAAAGCACACAACAACCTGGACAAGACCAAAGCCTCCATGTAAGTCCGAAGCCAAGCAATAGGGTCCTGACTGTATGCCGCTGGTCACAGGGCAATTCTAGAAAATGCACAGCCCATGGCAACAGACAAGTGAGCAGGAGGGAGGGACAGGTCCCAAAGAGGCAAGAGGAGCACTCTGAGATGAAGGGCAGTCAGTGGAACCCTCATAAGCTCAGAGCTCAGACTGTAAACGTGGGGTTTGCTGAACTTCATTCCTTAATAATTTACTAAATTTTCATTATTCAACAATTGCTTGCTGAGATAGGAAAAAGGGGGACAGCTATGTTTTAAAATCTACTCAGCTTCGATTCTGACAGAAAGATCATAGTAGGTCGGTCTATGGCTGTGGCTGACTCAGAAATTAAGGCAAGAAGAGGCCGAGGCAGGAGGATTGCAAGTTCAAAGCCAGCCTCAGTAAAAGTGAGGTACTAAGCAACTCACTGAGACCTTGTCTCTAAATAAAATACAAAATAGGGCTAGGGATGTGGTCAAGAGCCCCTGAGTTCAATCCCTGTACTCCGGCACCACCCCCACCACCCTGCCAAAAATTAAGTTAACTATGTATGCAAAATTAAAAATGACAATAGGTACAACAAAATGTGAATGGTATGATTATCCTTTGGTGGCAAAATTTTGAGCTATCCTTATTTTCTTCAATACGCCTTTTCACATTTTTATCTTTTATAACAGGAACATGTATTATTTTGTAATGGAACAGAGATTGCTATTTCTTTTATGTGGATCTAACACACGGTTTCACCATGTCAGATTCTACATGATGCAGTGGGAGAGAAAATCAGCAGAGCTGTTACAATTGCCTCTAAACCCAAACTCCTGAGCAAGGTGCTACTGGGAAGAATAGCACTCCAGTTACATACCTGAGCAATGCAGTACTCCTTAGGATTTTCTTTTTCCAGACCATATTTCTCTAAAGCTTCCGCCACAGCAAAGTCTGCAGGATCCGTAGTAGACAGTAGGATTGTCTTATAGGGAATGTTTGGTTTTAAACTATCTGCATAAATTCTCAACGTTCCACCTGAAAAAATATTTTGACACCTTTGAGTACAACTTTATTTCACACCAATGACAGGAACATCAGACATCTGCAGCAGCATAGGAGAAGGCTCTCAAGTACCAATTGCAATGGTGCATAGGCAGCCTTAGCACCGCCACTACGTTTTCAGCCCCCACAGGAAGACCTGCACCAAAGGAAGCTACTGCAGGGAGTGAGGGCAACCCTGCAGGAGGAGGCTGCACCCGTTCTTTCTCCACACCAGAGCCTTCTCCCCCAGGTGCAGCCCTGCTCCTGCACCCACTTCTGCACTTGAGCATCACTCAATCTGTTCTTCCACTTCCACTTCCTGAACCTCGATCTGAAGTAAATGAAAAATTAAACCCACTAAGCAGATCCTCTTTTAAAAAATGAATACGAATGAGGAGATCTCAGGTGCACAAGCTCAAAGACTTTTTCATGAGGGGTGTGCCAACAGAGCAGGGCTCTTTAATTCCTCAATAGAAATGACATTCTAGTTTGTACTAACTGTGAACTCATTTGAGGGGGAAAAAATCAGCCAGAGCAGAGCACTCTGGCACCCTGAGGTTCTGTTGGTTCTTATTCATGAAAATCCACAAATGCACACGTGGTGTACTATTGCCACTCCTAGGAGTCCGAATTCTACTTATGGCCCAAGCTCAATAAGCACAAAATCCCCATCTACAGGAAAGAGCCTGAGGAAAGAAGGTAACAGGCTCCATGTCCCCATACCAAAGCATGATGTGCACATACTCCTGTCTTCAGTCTTCAGCTTTTCCACCTATTAGGAGCTTCCCAGAGGTCTGAGGATCTCTTGGAGCAAGTTCTGAATCTCCATGACTCCCTGGGCCTCTGAATTCTGAAGTAATTATTCTGGCTGCTGAGTACTTCCCATGTTCCCTTCTTCAACAACTCTAGCATGAACCACATCTTGGTGATTGAGTCATAGTAAATTATAGTCTCCTAAGAATCTGGGAGACCACACCAATGTAAGGATGTGAACCTGCTAGGCCCAGCCCCCTTATCTGGTGGAGATATATCTCCACCACGGGCACTCTCACACCAGCCAGAGCTGAGGACATGCGCCCTCTAAGACTCCCATTCTGGATGGGAGGTAGAATGCAGGGGAGAGAACTAACAAGAGAACAGATGCTGCGAGATGGCGATTCACATGTAAAACAGGAAGTATGGCTGTGAGAGAGTGAGCAGCCAGGGCTTCCTAAGCTTGGGGAATTGCCAAGGCCACTGAGACCTGAAGGACTTAACAGGGGAGCTTCCTGAGCAGGGCACCTATTCGTGCCAAGGCCCTTGGTTGATGAAGGCCTAGCTGGGCTCACCAGTCAGGGTGGATAAGGTGAGGGAAAAGAGGGAAGATACAGTCAGAGACTGGCTGAGATCAGATCACACAGGACTTCCTGACCTGATCACAACCTTGGGTTTTATTCTAGTTAGAGTTTTGAGAATGAGTGTGAGCATGTGTACCAATGCATGCAAACATCTCTACCCATGGGCACCTGCAGGGAGGAAGGTAAAATACCACTGAACAAAAGGGACTCCAGCTTTGGGCAAAGGAGGGCAACTTCAGGAGTGAGCCAGAAAAAGGCATGTGTCCACCTACTGGGACACTTCCCCTCCTAAGCTACGATCTGCCCCAGATGCAGATTTGAAAAAATCTACAAGCCATGTGTGTACAGCAGGACAGGCATGAAGTGTACAGACAGGCCCAGGTGGCATCTTCATGTTGCACACCAGGCAACCAGGGAGACCAAGACCTGCTCTAAAAACTGACAAGATGAGTCTGCAACCTCACTGAGATGTTCACAGAAAAATACAAATGCATTTGACAAAATTATACTATGTGAATGTGTAAATACACCACAGTGAATTCCACCTTCACATATATCTATAACACACTGATTAAAAATGAATAAACAAGTGGAAGGAAGAATAGAGGAAGGTCACTGCAGAAGATGACTGGAAGGAGGGGGTGGGAAGAGGTGGCACCGGGAACTGAAATGGAGGAAATTAAAACCCATGGGTGTATGATTATGTCAAAATGAAGAGCAAATAAAGAAAGAACATTGCAATTGCCTGACACCTAATTTTTGTTTAAAAAATGTACATTTTCTAAATCCTCAAACAATTCCTTTTTGATCCCAAAGTTACAGACTATGTTCACTATTTGGTCTGAAAAAAATTTATGGATGAAATTTACCAGGTCACTTTAAAAATCAGCATGGGTCCCACAGATGATTTAATCCTGAGCCACTTGGTACTCTTTTAAAAAAGACATCACAATGAGGCAGTTGTACAATTCATATTCTTGTGGCCAAATGAATTCAGTTATTGGATAGAATTACTTTTATTACTATCTGAATATTTTTGAACATCTGTCTAAAAAGATAATTCAGTTTTAATATAGTGAATGTTGAGTCTTTCTGACACACAAAAAAGCAACAAACAGGTATAGTCCAATTTAAGAGATTTCTAGTTTTATAAGCACAAAACTATGTTGTCAGAGCACAGACACACCCTCCCACACATGACAAGGAAGGAGAAAGTGAAGAGAAGGACTAAAGTCCATCACATCAGTTCTAAGACCGACAGATGCATTATTTTCCCATTTTGAAAATGAACACACTGAGGTTCAGTTTGTGCACGGGTTTCCAATGCACCCTAACTCCAGGCCCATGTCTTTCTGTGGTGCCCAATGCTCCCAGGATTGTGTGCCGAGAACTGGTAGACAAAGAAGTGACTCTCCAGAAATTCTTACAGTTAATGAATGTCACAGTGAGAAAACCCAAGACAACAATTGGTAGAATATCTGCACCACCAATCAATTAACTGAGGTATACAGAGCATTTTGGGGCCAACTGCACTTTGAAGACCTCACAGAGGGAACACACTTGCATGTTAAAAGCCTGACAAGTGCAGTACAAGCCTGTTCGCATGGAAGACTCACCCTCAGTTGAGCCAGTGGCTACTGGAGGCTATCAGGTCCATTTTTCAAAGTAATTAATTCATTAAAACAGACAGACAACAACTTGAATTTAATACTTTTGAGTTCCTTAATATTAACCATAAAGAGTGGAGTTTTTTCAAGATGGCAGAATAGAGGATATCACTTTCCTGGCTGATCCATGGTGTGAAACCAAGAAAGCAGACAGGCAACTTCTGAGGAAGGCAGGTGAGAAAAAAAGGACTTTACTGGGAATTAATACTGGACCTTCAAAGCAGATTCGGGACTCAGGAGGTCGGATATAATAAAATAAGGAAGAAATCCCCAGCTCCACTCCTGCTGCCACAAGCTAAGACACCATCCAGAGTGGGCCCACTGCAAGCCAGGTAAAGGATAACGGAATTAGGCAAAAGAGGAAATTACAGGATACAAATGGTAAAAGAAGAGTTCCAACTATCCTATTTGCTGATGACATGACCCTATACCTAGAGGACCCAAAAAACTCCACCACAGAACGTCTAGAACTCATAGAATAATTTAGTAAGTAGAAGGATACAAAATTAACACCTACAAAACAATTGCACTCCTATATACCAATGATGAATCAACTGAAAGAGAAATTAAACCAATCATTCCATTCACAATAGCCTCAAAAAAAATAAAAACATTTGGGAATCAATCTAATAAAAGAGGAGGAAGACTTCTACAATGAAAACTACAGAACACTAAAGAAAGAAATTAAAGGAGACCTTTGAAGATGGGAAAATCTCCCATGTTCTTAGAGAGGCAGAATTAATATTGTCAAAATGGCCATACTTCCAAAAGCACTATATAGATTTTATGCAATTCCTATTAAAATTCCAATGACTTTCTTCCTAGAAACAGAAAAAAGCAGTCATGAAATTCATTTGAAAAAATAAGAGGCCCACAATATCCACAGCAATCCTCAGTGAGAAAAATGGAAGCAGAAGCACAATACCAGACCCCAAGTTATACCACAGAGCTACAGTGACAGAAACGGCATGGCACGGGCACCAAAGCAGACATGAAGACCAGTGGGACAGAAAAGACGACGCAGAGACACATGCACATAAATACAGTTATCTTGCACTAGACAAAGGCACCATAAGCATGTACTGGAGAATAAACAGCCTCTTCAGCCTCTTCAACAAATGGTACCGGGAAAACTGGAAATCCATAGGTAGCAATATGAAATTGAACCCCTATCTCTCACCCTGCACAAAACTCAATTTGAAATGGATCAAGGACCCAGGCACTAGACCAGAAACCCTGCGCCTTCTAGAAGAAAATGTAGGACCAACTCTCCAACACGTTGGCTTAGGAATCGAATTGCTTAACAAGACTCCAAAAGTGCAAGAAGTAAAATCAAGAATCGATAAATTGGGTTGTAGAAACTAAAAAGCTTCTTCACAGCAAAGGAAACAATACAGAATGAGAAGAGAGAGCCCACAGAATGGGAGAATATCTTTACCACAGGTACCTCAGATAGAGCACTAATCTCCAGGATATATAAAGAACTCAAAAACTTAACCCCCAAAATACAAATAACACAATCAATAAATAGGCAAAAGCTCTGAACAAGCACTTCACAGAAGAAGAAATACAAATAGTCAACAAATATATGGAAAAATGTTCAACATTTCTAGCAATTAGAGAAATACAAATTCCATGTCATTCCAGTCAGAATGGCAATTATCAAGAATACAAGGAACAATAAATGTTGGTGAGGATGTGGGGGAAAATGTTCACTCATACATTGCTGGTGGGACTGCAAATTGGTGCAAGTACTAAGGAAAGCGATAAGGAGACTCCTCAGAAAACTTGAAAAGGAACCACCATTTGACCTTGGCTTATAACCGAAGGACTTAAAAGCACCATACTCAGTGAAACAGCCACATCAATGTTTACTAGCCACTCAATTCACAATAGCTAAGCTATGGAACCAACCTAGGTGCCCTTCAAGAGATGAATAGATAAAGAAAATGTGGTATATAAACAAACAGAATATTACTTAGACACAAAAAAAGAATGACTTTTGCTAGTAAATGGATGGAACTAGAGACTCTCATGCTAAGTAAAATAAGCCAATGCAGAAAACTAATGGCTGGATGTTCTCTCTGATACAACAAGGGAGGCAGGGAATAGAAAGTCATCGGATTAGACAAAGGAGAATGAAGGAAAGGAGGGAAATGGAAAAGGAAAGACAATAGAATGAACTGGACATAACTTTCCTGTGTTCATATATGAATATGTGACCAGCAAAACTCCACACCATGTACATCCACAAGAATAGGATCCTAATTAAAATAAGTTCTACTCCATGTATGTATAATGTGTCAAAATACACTCTACTGTCATGTATTCTAAAAACAAATAATAATTTTTTAAAAACTACAAATTTACTTTCTTAAAGAGTTTTCCTGGGAATCTAATATATATATAAAAATGTTCCTTTTGTGCCCAGCCATCCCTTTAATAGAGAAGCTCTGCTTGCGAATTCTACTGTTTCTACTCTGAATTCCTGGGGTCTTTTTTCTATTTTCTTCCTGGGCCCCTAGAACACTGCCTAACTGTTCTGCTTGCTGTTGTTTTTCATCACCAGTGCGCTTTCTCTCCAACGAGCCTCACCCACACCCATACAGATAACCTTCTCCACCTCCATCGGACACCAAAGAGCTGGGCTCTAGTTCAGTCACTGAGTCACCAGCCCAAAGATACCCCACACGATGCCAGCACCTCACCTGACACAGGTTAACCCATCTTCCACTCCAAACATTCCCTTGCTCCACAGCCCATCAACCTCTGTCCAACACTGCTGAGTAAAACCCAGTCTTCATGGGGCCCAGTATTCCACCCTCCAACATCCCTCTATGCGCTGGGTCCTCTGCCTCCTATGGGCAACACAGGCTTTCCTAGGCCTGCTGCGTCTACTCACGATTCCCTCGAATGCAGCTTCTATGCTGCCTCCACAATCATCTCTCTAGATCTGAAGCTGAGGCTAAACTGAAAGCTTTTCAAATCCCTAGCTCATTGACAATGCCCATCAAAATTTCCTATCAAAATACCCAGACATCAGTGGAATATAGGTATGGGCATCTGGGAGTACCAGCTAAGGGACATGCAAAAAGCTTCCTACTTTCTTAAAAAATGTACATACATGTTACATTTAACCCACTAATGTGGATTAGAAGGTTTAAATAAACACTCAAGTGACTTATAAAAATTAATACTGCAAGCCAGCTTCTTATTGTGACTCACATGCACCTGAACTTGTGCTTGGGGCTCCTCCAAGGAGCAGCGGACTCTGCTCGTTTCAGGGACACCTCAGGCTCCTTCCTCTGGCCAGTGCCTTCAGGTCTGACAGCGGCTGGCACAGGGAGGTATTTCTGACTGTTCCTCTTGAGCTTTTTAAAATTTTTGCTTCTTTATATTTCTCTGCCTTTTTTGGTTGCATGTAGTTATAAATCATGACAAATTCTTGATAGAACCGGGACACATTTAAACAAAAAAATCTTGGATCTCAAAAATGCCTTATTAAAATACTTAAAGAATCAAGAAGTCCCTCCTGCTCCTAGTCCTAGTCTGTTTGTTTGTTTGAAGTCACCAGTCCTACAATTCCTGTGAAGTATCTAATTAAGACTTGTTTTCAGTGCACTGAGGATAGAAACAAGGCCCCGTGCTGGGGCGGCTGGGGTGGCAAGCTGGAGCCATCTGGAACCCACACTGAAATGTGCTAGAGCCCCGAGTCCTCAGCAATCACTGGCCTAGGGCAGGACAGTGACCACACATTTCCGAACACAGTCCATGGAGCCCACCTCCTGTGTGGAGACCAGAATGATACACAAACAAAACACATTAATACCAGCCCAGGAATGAACACAGGTGTGAAACTGCCTCTCAGTCACAGACCCAGCCTCACGAAACGAACCGTGGCTGTTAACTCAAACTGGACAAGCAATGACACCTTCGACGCAGGAGAGAAAGGCCTGGAACCGAGCAACCCCTCCAGACCAAAACTATGATTAAAAAGGGATTCAGAGAAATTCTTCCAATCCTCACATCCCAAACCCTACAACTATCAAGTAGGCTAGCAGGTGTAAAGAGTAAATGTCCAAAGGTACAATTCTGAAGCCCCTGATGTGACATTACACAAGAAACATGGAGGTGGAGGCCAGACCAAACCTCTGTGGTCAAACTGAATCAATAGAGTGATTTTTTGTTGTTTAAACTCAAATGGATATGCTATTATTGTTTTAACAAGTAAAAGAACTTTGTAACTAATGTGTAATTTTGTAATAACTAACTTGTAACTTTGTAATAAATATCTTCTTTGCTGAATACAATTACAGATTAAAGTAAAAGTTTTAGGTCAAAAAGCTAAAAATATTCACAACCCATGCATAATTAGAATAGCAAGATTATCTATTCCCATTTCCCTCAGAACTACAGAACAAACTCCAGACATGCTGGCAGAGGGAAGATGAGGAGCGAGGAAAGAACACCGCACACTGCTCACAGGACCACTTGCCACGCTTCTCCGTGAGCACCTTAGTTTGTAGGACTGACTTTGAAACTATGAAAAAATGTTAGTTATGAAGACACAAACTTCTAGAAGTAAGAAACAAGTGTAAATCAATAAGGGAACCCGGCCATACAGATAGGAACTGTGTGATTTTAAAACACAGCAATTTAACAGTACATCTTTATAAGAAACACCAACTTCGCAAAAATCTCAACATGTTTTCTGAACCCTATTGTTAACAGTAACACTGTTCCTATGTTTACAGAAAAAAAAAAAATCATGTTGATGCTATTAGGAAGAAAGAATGCTACTGTAAGATACCCAGGTTTTCTAACATCAAAACAATTTAAAGGAACAAGGACTCCTGAGAGAAGAAGCCATCTCAAACCCCAGGAAAGACATGCACAGGAGGGACATCCCGCCAAATACCAAGTCACTCAAGACCACCAGTAGCCAAGGCCCAGAAAGAAGCTTGCTGGAAGACTCTGGTTGGCTCCAGGTGTCACTTCAAGAACCACAAAGGAAAACAACTGCTGTGGATCAGAAACACAGGAGGGCTGTCCATCCACAAGCTTGATAAAAAGCCTTAAGTCACTGCTCCTTGTGAGAAGACAATCAAGTAAGTGTTCTGGACCTCTCTCTATCTACACCCAGTCAAGAAAAGAGAGAAAACAAAAAGAAAAACAAGGCAACTGACACAAAAAGATACAGCCAGGGGCTGGGGATGTGGCTCAAGCAGTAGCGTGCTCGCCTGGCATGCGTGCGGCCCAGGTTCAATCCTCAGCACCACATACCAACAAAAATGTTGTGTCTGCCGAAAACTAAAAAATAAATATCAAAATTCCCTCTCTCTCTCTCTCTCTTTAAAAAAAAAAAAAAGATACAGCCAGCAGAATCTACAAGGTCAATGACAAACCAACTAAAAAACAAAAAAGTAAAATGTAAGGGAAGAAAGGGAATTTTACTGTAAAAAACTTCAAAGGCATATTAATCAATGTGTAAGTCACTTCTGGATCCTAATTCAAATAAACATTAATCAATTTTCATGTGTGTCACTTGGTTCCCACTCCAACTAAAGGAATTACCAGAGACAGCTGGGAAAATGGAAACAATGTTATTTGATCAGAGTAAAAAATTACTATTAATTTTTTATATGTAATAATGGTATTAGAGTTATACAAAATAATAGTTTGGGAATGGAGCAACGTATATTGCAGAAAAGAAGAAAAGGGTTGTTGATCACTGAAATTCTATGATAAGTGCATGAGTGTTCACTACTTCTTTCTCTTCTTTTTATATATCTGAAACACTCTAGAATTTTTTTTTTTAAAGTTATGCTGGGGGAAAATACATAACTGGCTATTTCTTTATGGAAGAGAATTCTTTTACCCAAGAGAGTGCACAGATCTGCTTGGTGTTACTGCAGATCTGCTTGGTGTCGCACACAGACAGAAAACCAACTTGGTGTGTACCTGAATCGGGCCTCCCATCTGAGCTTCGGAACTCCTGCATCCTCTTCTCCAGCTTTTGCTGCCGCCGTCGTTTCATAACCACTTCAGGATTAGAAATGGTCCGAGTAAAGCTGGTTTCTGGCATGTCCTTGTATACCTCAGCAGCCAGTCGGGAATTCTCACTGAGGAAAGAAGTGGTAACAGAACTTTAAACCTTTTTCCACTGTAACACAAAACTATATGAAATCAAAAGAATAGATTCTACTGGCCTACCTCTTACCTCATGGAAAAGTTGTGTGTACTCACCATGTGCTAATCAATTACTATGAAATAGAGAATATACTCTCTCGATAATATACCAAACTAAGCAGATATCTTCAACAAAATCCTTATCATTAGGTCACACAACTTAAGTGCTGTATTATATTCAATAACAAAACAAAAGGAAAATCTACAGAGTATACATTAAAGAAATTCTGACAATTGTTATCCTAAAACTAACCAAATGAATGATATTATATCACAACTTTCTAACCATGAGAAATAATTATAGGATTGATTGCATTTAAGTAAGAATCTTATTTAAAATGATAATAAATCTTCAAGATCTCAAATTAGTGAAATCTCATGATTTTGTAAAACCTAAAAGATTTACCAACATCACTTTCCTAAAGTTAAGCTTTTAAAAGAAAATTGTTCTAACAATTTCTGTAAAGGAATCAACTACAGAGTGATGAGCAGAAAACTAAATATTAAGACAAAATGGAAAAAGTGATATGCTGTTAATAAATACACCTAAGTACATAATTTTTCATAATTAAAAATCAAATTTTAATTAATCAAGTTAACAATATAACTCATTTTAAGTAGCTCATTTTCTAAATCAAATTATACGTCGTCTCAAAACCTAAACTGACAAACACAGCAAACCATAAGGCTTTAGTTTTAAACAAGACTTTTTTTTTTTATAAATGACTAATTGATCTATGCAAATTTCTTCTTCCTTACAACCACATTAAATACAGCCTGCTACACTGTGCCCAGGTGATTATATCCCTGAACTGCTTATTAAATTAGTTTTGCTATATCTCAAATAGGCGCAAATTCCACTCTAAAGGACACATCATTCATGGACACACAGAAAATATCAACTCATTCTAAAAAGTGGGAAGAAAACAAACTCAAGGAGACCACTGCACCACAAAAATATAAATGGCTAATGAACATATGTAAGATGTTACCTTTTGAATAATACATTAAATTTAGTATGTGGAGAATATCATATAACACAGAGGTAATACACTGATCCAAGAGGTAAGAGGTGTAAGCATGTAAAAAAATGAGAAGGGGTGGTCAGCCAACAAGCTGAATACCCAAGTCACAGTCCTGGAAATCTCCCAAGGAGACACGCAGACCTGCTCCTACCCACTGTCCCTCAGTACCTCCCCAGAAGCAATTGGATGAGTGCCTGTAATACCAGAAGGATGTTCACTGGTCATTATTCAAACCTAGGGTAGGGAGGTGGGCTATAAACAAATACAGGTACATTAAAAAATAATCAGGTACATAAATGATGGAAGAACCATGTGACAGAATGCCATACAATCTTAGAACTGTTTTTGTGAAATACATATATACAGGAAAAATACCACGTAAAAAGTTCCAGTTGAAAAAGCTGTGATTGTACTTGTTTAAAAATCTTCTATGTAAACACTTAAAGTATATATATATTTGTACGGAAAAACAGACAGGATTAGCTTCTCTTGGGTTTCTCATGGGTTCCGGCCCATCTGCTGTCTGACTTTCTGAAGTGTATATTCCTTACTTGGCCATGTAATATACATAGTACAATGCATTCAATACCAGGGCACAGAAAGCTGCCCAAGGGCAGGTTGAACTAGCAACTGGATGGGGCAGAGTGCATACTGGGAACTAGAGTCCACCTAGGAAAAGTCTAGGATGTGACCTACATGTCTTTCTGTTATGCAGAAACACAGAGATTTCCCTTATTCCCTCATCTCTGAGCTCAGGAGCTCAAATATCTTGGGACAGATAAAGTGCACCTACCATAAGGCTGGAATAACAGGGCAGGAATGGGGGACTTGATGTGTCTGAACCTTCAAAGGGAAAACCTGCTTTTCCCTGGCCTTGCCCCTTCTACCAGACATCAGTGTCCCGAGGCATACAGGAAACCCTGCCGCCCCATTCCAGATGAGGCCTCTGGCAGCAGTGCTCCACTCAGGAAAAAGGCACCTCAGTCATGTATGCTGGGGTGAGCAGGAAGGTGGGCAGGCTTCTAACCTCAGGGGACTTTCCTTAGGTAAGACCCGTTTACTTCCTAACTTGGTGGGTCAATCTGCATCCTTCACATAGCCCTCTGGGAAGGCCAAAGCCAGTTGCATTAAGAACATCTGTGGGCTGGGGCTGTAGTTCAGTAGTAGAGCACTTGCCTAGTACATGGAAGGCACTGGGTTCGATCCTTAGCACCACATAAAAATGAAAAAACTAAAATAAAGTACTGGGTCCATCTACAACTAAAAATATTGGGGAAAAAAAAAAAAAGCACCTGCTTGCAGTGCAGAGCAATGGGAATACTTCCAGAGCAAACCCACCTGTCATCCCCTCGAGAAGGTCCATCCTCCTTATCAGACGTCTGTCTCAAGGCCTCCTTTTCTCTCTTCTTTTTTTCTTTCTTTTCTTTCTTTGAGAGCGTTCTCTTGAAGTTCTGTATAACACCTTCTTTCTCCTGCTTTTCTGGTCCATTACTTTGAACCTTCTGATAGAAGTAACATCGTCACTCATTAGCCACCACCCAGGAATATCATAATGCTCCCTGTGGGGAGGCTTTCTTCTCCACACACAGCATCTCAAACCAGGTGAACTCTGGGGTGTGGGGACATTACATACAGTGAGGAGCCTAGAGTGACATAGGCAATTTTTTCAAAACCAAGTGAATTACATACTCGAGTCTGTGTGTTCAATTGTATATAAATTTACCTAACTTTCAAACTAATTGAGCAAGCAGGCAAACAAACACTCAAAGCTAGTAAGAACACTGGGGTGTGATTCATGAAATCTGACTTTTAATGACTAAAATTCCAATAAGTTACCATAAAGTAACCTCAGTAAAAGGAGCCTAATAAAACATAGAAATGAGGAGTCTAAATCACCATCTGCGTAGTAGGTACTTTTCTTTAACTTCAGAAGAAACGTTAAGAGTAGTCATAATAAGTGGCTTTCACAAACCAGGGTCCTACTTATCAGCTTTCTGCAAAACACCTGACTGCTTTTTCAGGCCTTGTATGTGTTTGCTTATTCTTAATATGCTTTTCAACTACGAAAAGGCCGTCCCACATAGCCACATTATTTTTAGGTAGAAACTTAACAGGTGAAGAATTTTAAAAAGAAGAAAAAGATAAAGTACTGGAGAGAAAACTGCCTTTTACTTTCTAAGATGGGGGAGTAGAAAACATTCATGTTCCTGTTTCCATTCTGGAATCTTTTACATTGCACTGGTCCTAAGAAGAGTTTGCACCTGGCAATGAAGGTTTGTGGCCCACAGCAAAGTGAACAGAATGCACAGCACCAGCTGAAATCACAACACAAGGATGAAATGAAATGTGAGTGCAGGACCACAGAAACCCATTCGAACTTGTGTGCATCACTTCAGGTACAGTCAAGTCACTAAACACGGGCACGAGGAAATCCAAGACCCCATGCATAGGTGTGAGGATCAGCAAGCAACAATGGCCTCACACAGAAGGAAAGTGTTCTGCCACTGTGAGCGAGCAATGACAGTCTCTCTCAGTGTACAGGGGGTTGAACAGAAGAATCCCTCAAAGTCCTCTGAACTTTGCATTTGCTACTACTTGCTAATACTGAATTCCTGTGAAAGATGCTATCTGATTTAGCAAAGATTATATAGTATTTTGAAATTATATCAACATTTCTAGTATTCCACAAAAAAAAGAACAGTAGTACAGAAATTCCAGATGACCCAGGCAAGATTTAGAACTGACACGGCTCCCTGGCCACCAGCCACACAGCCAACCCAATAATCCCTTCCAAAGCAGTGAAGCATGACTGGCGCAGGCCTGAGGCACAGCAGGCCAGTGCCAAGGTGAGCCAGGGCATGCTGACATGACACCCAGCTATGGCACAGCCTAGGCCTGGTGCAGACGCCCATTGCAGAAGCCCGCTCCACACAGCACCACAGCTCGGAACCACCAAGCTTCTATAATCCAATATCCTCAACCTCTTACTTCCCCATGAGCAGTGGAAAAATGCAAGTGGAGCAGATCTGGAAAGGACTGCAGGTGAGTCTGGGCTGGTACTTTTCCAAACACTGATTAGCATAAATCTGAACCAAAAATATTGATCCAAGTGATACATAAACCCCTACACTAACACACTCCCATATGGGAATCCCCTTTCACCCTGCAGGAGTTGTGTTTCTATTCACACTTGAATAAATCTTGTTCTTACACTCACTCACCCTCATCTGTGGATTTCATTTTTCAAAGCTGCAAGACAAGAACTCAGAAAGAAAATATTGGCGATGAGCTGCTGAGGTATGCCTCAACACCGAAGGGCATAGCCGGCCTTTAAGAGCTGCAGCACATTTCTTGGCTACAGAGCCTGCAGCCTGTGCAGAGCCTACCTGCCAGCATAAGTGGAAAATCTAGTTTCATCCCAAACTCCAATTTCAGAATCATCCCTCCATTGTCTAAGCACACCAAGAGTTTGCCAATTCCTAACCTCACTTGTGCACTGTGGAGGGTTGTCATGTGCCTTTTGCAGTGGCATCTGAAAGTTCACTATAAATAGATTATCAGAGCTTCCTCTTCCTTCCTAATTCTCATTAAAGCAATTCTGATTTTACAGCTTGGGGAAAGAATGGAAGGTGATAACTTGATCACTAACTCAGTCACAAAAACTTACTCCTCTTTCAAGAAGTGAGCAGCAGCATCGGGGCTACTAGATGAAATAAAGGGTAAAGTAGACACCATCATGCTGCTTTTATGTTCTTTTCTAGGAGGACAGTAGAGGGATTTAGGGAGAGAAGACAAATAGAAGGAGCTCCTGTAACAAAAACTCAATCCGGTTTGCTCCCACCCAGCCACAGTCAGCATAAGATAGGGAGGCGCCACCTTAGCAGGGGCTGCGTCGTTCTCATTCTTGAGCACAAATCTGCCTTCCCGGTCATCTTTGTTCCAATTCAACTGCACAACTAGAGGCTTCTCATCAGTGTCCAATCTTCTTTCTTCTTCAACATGAAATGGAAAAAAAAAAAATATGCCATAGTTATTTCATGGCATCAGCACAATAATTGGCCAAGTCATATAATTTAATTTTATAAAGTATTTTATTCTCCCAAGGATCTGCTGACAGACTGAAATGCACTGTTAAGAATGTCAAATCAGTGCTTAGTATTCTGTCAATACTACGTGCCCATTAACATGATCAGTGCCAGGTACTGACAGGGGCATTCCCCTTGTTCAGATATAACTGGGAAAAAAAGGAGAAATATACATGGACTAGGATAAAGTAAACACAACTCTGTTGTAACCTTATTTCTGAAGTCAAATCATATCTTATGCAACTAGAAAATAAGAAAATGATGTTAATACACTGCAGAAGTTCCACAGGCTTACCACCTTAATGTTACATCCTACAAGCAACAGCAATAGCACACAATCAGTGTAGAAGTGACTGCAGTGACCTTCTGCTCTTCCTACCTGCATATCCATCTCTGAAGCTTGCCAATCTCGACCCTCAGCTCGCCTTCACCAGAAAGCTGCCATGCCTTTCTCTGTGTTCCAGTGAAGTGCGTGACTGGTGCACTGAGTCCCCCAGGGAGCAATTCCCAAGTGCTCTACAGAGCCTGACATTTCCAAAATCCAGAAGCCTATGGTGGGGTGCAGGCTCCAGGGAGAAGGCCCTGAAGGATGGAGCAGGCACAGCATCACTCAGCAGGGAAAAGACTAAGGAGCAGGGCCAGTCCACCTAACTCTAAGAGCACATTCCCAGGTGTCCTCCTCATCCCTGGAGAAACCCATTCACCATGCTTTTCCTGTTACTTTGTTATAGCCACTGCTACAAATTTAAATAGTTTTTGAATAACCTGCCCATTTTTTCTTTCTTGTGAAGTCTGCCCCGGCATACATTTGGCAGAACATGAGCTCTTCCAGGAATTCCTGCTGCAGAAGCACCTGTACAAAGCTTCCTCCCTACACAATGCTTTACAATCCTTGTGAACAGGAGGACCCAGCACTCCCAGGCTTGAATAAAGGAAACTCATCATAAAACCAAAGTATCTGATAAGGCAGGGGACAGATTCCCTCTCCTATGGGCATCCTCCCATGTCCAGCTTTGCCACTGCACAGCAGGCTGGCCAGCACATCACCAGGAGACGGGCAGTGCACACACTCATCCACTGTCGGGTAGGTGCAAATTCTGCACAGAGTGAGACTATATGGTGCTAGTCAGTCAGCAAATATCTCTTTTTTTTTTTTTTAAAGAGAGAGTGAGAGAGGGGAGAGAGAAAGAGAGAGAGAGAGAGGATTTTTTAATATTTGTTTTTTAGTTCTCGGCGGACACAACATCTTTGTTGGCATGTGGTGCTGAGGATCGAACCCGGGCCGCACGCATGCCAGGCGAGCGCGCTACCGCTTGAGCCACATCTCCAGCCCCCAGCAAATATCTCTTTAGTTTAAGAGATAGCTGGCAAGGGCAGTGACAGGAGAAAGGTCCAGCTCCTGAAGGCTGCAAGAGCAGTGAGGCATGCTGGTTCCATGATGGGCCAAGGCTGCTCCTCATAACCAGGCTCCACAATGGCACAGAAAGTAAAGAAGCAGAGCCAAGACCAAAGATTGTTTTGTGAACTGGCCTGTACGTGACACTAAAACACTGTTAAATTTGAGATTGACCTCATTTCTCAAACAAGGTCTCTATCAAAATGCTTCTGCAGGGCTGGGGATATAGCTCAGTTGGTAGAGTGCTTGCCTTGCATGTACAAGGCCCTGGGTTCAATCCCCAATACCACAAAAAAAAATTTTTTTGGCACTGTTCACTGTACAATGTTTTCAGACTGACGTGGTGTTATTTTAAGGAGCTTGCTGTAGGCATTATGCATCTCTGGGTAACAGGCTCTGGTGTAGGTAATAACACATCAGTGAGCACACCAGGAGAGGCACTTCAGAGCCACCCTGGACTAGGGTTCTCCAATGAAGAGCCCCCCTAGAGCATAGACCCAGACAGGACTTGAAGGGAAGGAAAGGTGTAGGATGGTCCAGAGAAGGTCAGAAAGACAGGACTTGAAGGGAAGGAAAGGTGTAGGATGGTCCAGAGAAGGTCAGAAAGACAGGCAGGGAGTGTGGCAGAACTCTGGGCAATGGCATGAGCACAGCCCCACACCAGGTGAGAACTGTCATCTGATCAATACTGCCAATACCATGGCCAAATTAAGATTCTACAAAAGCACTAGCATCCCCAGCAAGGGATGGCAGCACAATGATGGATGACATGATGGTGCTCTCACCAAGGCTGCACAGAGAACCCAGATGACCATATCAAGACCCGCTACCATGAGGCCAGCCACAGGCTCATTGTGACAAAGGAGGCAAGCATGCCAGAAAGAGCTAGACTTCCAGAGTTTCTTAGTAAGCATTATATACAACTAGTAAGGCAACGTATTAGAATGCAGAATAATAATATAGAATAATAATTATATTATTCCTATAATAGGTTATGAATTAATCAACTGAAAATCAGCTTAATAAACTAGTGATAAAAATCAATAAATTTGGTCAGGTGTGGTGGCACACACCTGTAATCCCAGCAGCTTGGGAAACTGAAGCAGGAGGATCACATGTTCAAACACAGCCTCAGCAAGTTAGTGAGGCCCTGTGTCAAAATTTAAAAAATTAAACAGATTGGGTAAAAATTAAACAGGTTGTGACTCAGTGGTAAGTACCTCTGGGTTCAATTCCTGGTATCAAAAAAAGAATCAAATTTGAATTCTTGTATAAGCAAGAATTATCAAACTGTTCTGGTTACAAAATTTATACTAGATTGAAATTCCTCATGATGTCATAACTAACATTAAAACTAAATCATAAAAGTAAAACAAAATAAAGGTGGGCTGTTCTTAAAGCATGGTGAGAAAATCACTAAATGTAAACTTAAGGTGCTCTGGGCCCCTCTGCACTTTAGTCACTAAAAAGTCCTTCTGCCTTAGTTTTTCATGATTTTTTATTTGCATAATCTTTTATGTTTCCACTTAAATTCCTATGAGGAATCTTATCCAGAAAAAGAATAAAAGTGGAGTTTCCCTGGTGGGTGACATAAGGGTCTGACCCACAGTTATCCCACAAGGGCTGGCAGGTAGACATGATGAGTTGCCCTGTGACAACAGGCTCCTGGGGAGCACTGAAAGGTGTGAAGGACCCAGGTACACCTGCCAGGCACCAAGAGAGCCCTGACTCCAGGACTACGTTGACTCTGCAGCACCACCTTGGTCAGCACCGTGGATGCTGAAATAAGTGAGTACTGTCTGAAAATCCACATGCACAGGAAGTGAGAGCCAGAGTGTGACAGGTTTGGCAGACCCAGGAGACACCCCCCATCAACAGCAGCAGTTGTGATAAGAATGAGATGAAAAGCTTAGTGTGCTTCCCATTTTATGTGTGCTATTTTTTTCAACCATCTACCAGATTATTAACTAAGTATGCACCAATTGTCAGAGTCTACCTATTTAGTAAACTGGACTACTATGTATTTCCTTTGGCCTAGTGGGGTCATTAAAAAAATCACTGAGATACTAAGGACTCAGGGAACCCTGAAAACATGTGTGCTTGGATTCCCGGGTCTGAGGTCCAGTGCAATACATAGAGCAGGCAAGGACACCAAAGGGCTAGGGAAAGCACTTCCTTTGCCTTGAAATTCCTTTATTTTGTTTAGCCCATACCAAATAAACAAAAACAAAAATAAAAAATACCTATTTTACTTTTTAATTAAAAACATCATAGAAAGTTTAAAGGAAAAAAGTAAACCATTCAACTTTTAGATATCAAATACCAGTCTTTCATCGTATTACTCTGGAGACTTTGGTAGGACCAAATAACCAGACAGCATGGATGGAAAAAGCATTTAAGAAAGATATCTTCTTTTCTTTGTAACAAAGGTTCTAAGATAAAAGAAGAACTCAACCTCAGAAAAAATACCCAAAATTGCAAACATTCTCTATCACCAAGTTTAGTTTGGGTATTATTTATACAGGGAATATGCTCAAATCCTTAAAAAGTAATGAACATGGCCCACCTCCTATACCACTGGACAAAGGGTACCCTACATCTGGAAATCCCCCATGACAAACATCTCAGTCCAAATTCAAATGCACAAAGAAAGTTTGTATATCTGAAAAAAATGGATTATGTTCAGAAAAGATTTGTAGTTAAAATTTACAACGGGGTTGTGTCAAACATAGCCTTTAACTTGCTGAACTAATTAACTGTATCCTGTACTTTTTCCACAGTTCATACAACACCTATAAAAATTGTATAAATTTCTACATTTCTAATCAATCCAACTGGAGTTGTCATTTGGTATAGTTAAGCTGTACATAATCTTACAGAATGTAAAATAATTTCCAACGTTCAATCAAGGAGGAATGACAGCTACGTCAGGGGACTTTCCATGAGATACCCAACACAGCCTGGAGAACAAGGAAAGCATGTTGCTCACCAGGCAGAAACACAACAGCAAGATCCACAACTTACACCACAAACATCTGACTGGCCACAGCTAGTTACAGAAGCACAACTGTATACCAGGCACACCCTCCAAAGGCACGAAGCACCCCACCGCCATGTAGGCAACACAAGACATGCTGCACAGCATGAGCCGTCAACTGTCATGCCCCTTCCTTCACAGAAGCAAGCACTTCATGAAACTGAAATGTTCATTCTACTTCCAGTGAGCATAGGCGCTGGGAACTTCCCAGGCATAAGAACTGTTGCCAACCCACCCATCACTCCCTGCCCATGCAAAAAGGAGGCAGAGGGCTACGGTGATTGAAATGCCCAGTGCAAGCTGTGCACTCTGGGTCAGGGATGCCTCCTAGCAAATGCTCTGCAAACACTAACCTCCGCTGACGTGCACTTCATACAGTGAATACTTGGGAGACGACAGCATGCGCATGTCGGGGCGGAATTTCTCTGCCAGAGTTTCAATCACATCTTGGGTGGTAGCAGTGCTAGAGACGCGGATGCATTTTGTGGCAAAGTTTCCAGCAGCTTTATCTTGAAAATAAAATCTCATCACTCCATGGAACTCCAGATCCTAAAAAAAAAAAAAAAGACATTTTGAAAAAAATAACACTTTGAAGAAATTCACTTTTGATAATTATGCATAATAAGTAAAAAAGATTAGTCATCACTTTCTAAAAATGTTTCTTTACATAAATACCTGAGGCACAAATTAATATGAGATTTTAATCTTCGAGTTTAAGTGACTCTGGACAAGCTGTTTAAGGTTCTCACTGCCTCACTGTCCAGATGGAAAACAATGGCTATGAGGAAACTAAAGTTGACAGCCAGCTTCACTGGTCCTCCCCAGCGCAGGCACATGTGGCATACACTGTCTACTTCTCCACCACCACAGAGCTGGGGAGTTTGCTTCAATCACCAATTCTTTGAGTCTCTGCTTGAGAAGAAAGGTGTGAGACAGACCCAGAACCACAACCCAGAGCCACTGCGCTCCGAAGCCCAGCCCAGCCTATGCTGCCCCTGTGCTCTGAGCCCAGCTCTGAGCTTCTGAGCCATTCTCTTCTGAAAGTAAGGGGGATATGTCAGTCACAGTATGGGTACCACTGTGGATGAATGGAATTCTCAACTTTTCATGGAGTACAAGTGTAACAAATTCCCAACATGAACTACTCACCCTAGACAAACAATGCCCTTGATCCTTGTCTCAAAGTCTCACTTGTAGAGAAAAGCCACAGCAAACCCAGCCCAGGGAGTTCCTGCACAACTCCTGCTGTATGCATAGAAGACACCCTCTTTGGCTTCTCCCTTGAGCACAGAAGCACAATTCCTGAGGGGGTTCCCAGGAGCATTTCCAAGGCCAGGCCACTCCCACAGTGGCCAGCAGAAGGAGGGACTAGGCTCACCCTTGACTCCTCTCACCTCTCACTCTGGTTAGTACTTTCTCAAGAACCAACCAGAATCTAACCAAGAATTTGTTTCAAACACTCCCCCGGAACCCTCATCCCAACCCTGCTAAGTGGAATCACATCCACCCTTGGCTGCACACTCCATGGAAGCTTCCCCTTCTCTCAGAAGTCAATCTGACCTGGGGCCCAGAGCCAGGCCCATCTGAGCCTCTATTTCTCCCCAGTCCACTGGTCTTTTCTTCACAGTTATTTATAAACTAAGAAGTACTTATTTAAAGAGAAATAGGGGATACTGGAGAGGGGTTTATAATTGTATAAACAACATGAAAATAAAATCAGGAAGCAAGACATTAAAGCACGCTTGCAGCTCAAATCTTCTCTGGGCCTGTTCACCCTAGACCTGCTCCATCATGCCCACCCCATTCCCCAGGTGCCAGGGGGTTTGGGGGAGGCAGGGTCCCAATCGTGGGGTGGACTTGAGAAAGCTTCCTCACTTAGCTAGGTAGAAGCTGCATTAGTAGGAGTCCGGGTCTGGTCTCTCAGAGATTATTAGCAACCACCTCTTTGGTATGGATAGAGTAACAAAGCAAACTCAACTGATACCGCCTTTCAAAGTCTCATGTTGCTCTGGCAACCCTGGAACCTCCAAGTGACAGCATGTGAGAGGAGGCTCAATTGCAACCTGTGGGCCTGAGCTGGTCAACACCAAGCTACACCAGGCCCTTGCCAGACACTCTCACGCACCCTGTTCAGCTTTCCTTCCATTCAAGAACCTTCCATTTCAGAGTCCACTCTCCTTCACCAGCTCCAAAATTACTATAATGTTTAGTTATACAGATCTAAGTTTTCCTATGGAAGCTGTATTTTTTTCCCAAGAATGTGAGACTGCTACTGCCACCACCCCAAAGTCTCAAAGGTGAGCTGGCAGAAGCACCTTCCTTTTGACAGAAGTGACACCAAAAGGGTCCACTAGCCCCATGACACTCGGACATCCTGTGAGCAGAGCCTTCACATTATCTGCAGCACAACCCCAAAGGACATGAAGGTACCAACCTTCCTGAGAGCAGTCAACAAGGGATCCCAGGCTAGGAGACGCTGAAGAATCAGAACAGCGACATCACCAGCAGCGGGGTGGGGAGACCCTCCATCAGCATTAGCAGGATAGAGAGTGAATGGATAGTGACAAATACAGGAAGGTGGAGAAGTCCACCTAACTTCTCATAATTCCTTACAGACAGATCACCACCCTTTACAGTGAAAAGGAAACTGCAGATACAAACCTCCTCCCTAATGCTTCAGTTTCCAACCTTGCCTATAATGCTAGAAGGAAAGGGGAAACCCAGCCAGTCAGAGGGGCAGAGCAAGTGCCCCCGCCCACAGCACTTGTATAGAGAAGCACAAGCACTAACCTGAGAGGTCTGATGAGACCACGCTCCAGGCCTTACAACTTGAGTCAAGTACACAATGAAAACTACCTTCGATTTGATTTCAAATTGGTATTCCAGGAGTGTTAATAAGTTTGACATCACACAGAAGCAGCTGTTAAAGTTTAGATATGAGGTGTCCCCCAGAAACTCATGTGTGACAATGTAAGAAATGACTGTGTTATATGACCAGGGACTGAACTTCTGAAATCATGAGCCAAAATAGACTTTTCCTTCTCTACACTGTTTTTTTTTTTTTTTAAAAAAAAAAAAAAAAAAAAAAAAAAAAAAAAAAAATTTTTTTTTTTTTTTTTTTGTAGATGGACACAACACAATGCCTTTGTTTTTATGTGGTGCTGAGAATCGAACCCAGCTCCCGCCCGTGCTAGGCAAGTGCTCTACTGCTGAGCCACAATCCCAGCCCCCTCTACACTGTTCTTATCAGATCTTGGACCACACAATGAAAAAGCTCACTAAAACATCAAGTATACCTATGACCAGACTATTCCCTTAATAAATTAATAGGTTAACATTCTGTTCAATTATTTGGACATTCCTAAGTTTGGCTAATGTAAGTGCATAGAATCTTATCAAACCTGATAAATGGGGGCTGGGGATGTGGCTCAAGCGGTAGCGCGCTCGCCTGACATGCGTGTGGCCCGGGTTCGATCCTCAGCACCACATACCAACAAAGATGTTGTGTCCGCCGAGAACTAAACAATAAAACATTAAAAATTCTCTCTCTCTCTCTCTCTCCTCTCTCACTCTCTCTTTAAAAAAAAAAAAAAAAAAAAAACCTGATAAATGGGGCTGGGGTTGTAGCTTAGTGGTTGAGCACTTGCCTTGCATGTGTAAGGCACTGGGTTCGATCCTCAGCACCACATAAAATAAATAAATAAAACAAAGATATTGTTTCCACCTACAACTAAAATTAAAAAAAAAAAAAACTGATAAAATTGAAAAAAAAATCAAGTTCCTGAACCTGAACACTGGAGTGTAAGGACAAAACTAACAAATTATTATTATTATTATTATTATCATTATTAACATACAAAAAGGGTTTACTACATGTCAGGTACTAAGAGTTTCATACTTAATTCCCCAAAATAAGAGTTGGGTGTGATCACCACCACCATCAAATGAGGAGAAACAGAACGGACGGCACAAAGGAGCTAAGTCACCCAGCCTGCTAGGAGCAGGACTGGGACGTGACAGCCTGAGCCATCAGAACAGGATTCGACATGGGTCTCTGCTTCCACAGGGAGGGGTGATGACTATTTTTCTTTAAGGAGAGTAGGAAACAAATGGCCCAGAGGTCAGCAACCTGCACCCACTGCCTTCCTGGACTGAAGTGGCATGCAATGAAGGGACACATGCTCAAGCGGGGCAGAGGCCAGGCTGGCTCTGCCTCAGCACTACTGGCCCACATGTCAACCACCTGGGAGAGAGCCGAGGATACATGTCAGCATGTCAGGCTGCATCTTTAACTGAGTTACTTAACAATGCTGAGAACTTAAATTTCCTCAATTCTAAAAGAAAAATAAGCTTGTTTTGAGCATTAAACAAAACATGTATAGCAACAAACATGCTGCATGACACAGAAGTAAGTGCCCAGTGGTCTCAGGTCTTGCTCTGCAGCCTCTCAGGGAAGCATGGCTGTTCTGAGGCAAGGAACCCACTTCATTCTTTAGGCTAGGTCTTTCCTCAAGGCACAAGGCAATGCTCTGCAGGTAACTGTACAGCAAATTTCAGTCAGAACCCCGAAAGCAGACCCAACTCTTCTAGCTGAGGTATCCATTCCAACTGCTAAGAACCCTGGAAAGCAAAATGTTAAATTTGTAGAAAACAGCCATAAAGGCTTGAGGACAGGGCTACCATCCTAATAATGCTGCAGCCAAGCCAGCTATGATTTTTAAACACAAAGGCTGCCTTCGGGAAAAGCAGCACATCTCCCTCCCACAACACTGTCAGCTGTACGAACCACCAAGGACAAAGGATATAAATATTGCTATGTGACAGGTTCTCCAGGCTGAAAGGAAGAAACTCCTTGCAGCACAGTATTTTTGAAAGAAAATGTTTTTATTTTTTTATTATTTATTTTTTAGTTTTCAGCAGACACAACATCTTTCTTTGTATGTGGTGCTGAAGATCGAACCTGGGCCGCACGCATGCCAGGCGAGTGCGCTACCGCTTGAGCCACATCCCCAGCCCTTTTTTTTTTTGAAAGAAATTTTTTTAGAATGGATAATAACTCCCCAAAATCAATCCATCAGTACAGTCAGCGTACAATGCTAATCTAGGTAATTTAATTTGAAGGGAAGGAAAAGCAAGCCAGCAATCACCAATGCCACCTTCTTACAGGTAATTCCTCCTAACAGGACATGCATCTCTAGTATATATTTACATTTGTATAGATTTCTCCCTCAGAAGTGATATCACCAGAAACAGAAACTCTATTTAGGATTAATTTCATTACAACTACAAACAAAATTATTTTATCAGAAAGAACACAAAAATGCTACATTGTAGAATCACTAAAGAGCCAATATAAATGCCTTACCAACGCCTCACCAACTCATGAGATTGATGATCAATTGGTATTATTTTCCAATTTCCAATTTCCCCAGTAGGGGCTCAGTGAGAAACCTAAACCTTCTCTTGATAAAGCTAACCAGAACAATTAGTTGCACAATTCACTTCTCTTGCCTGTGTTCGGCACATATTGAAATTCACATCCCTCTCTA